AGAGTCTCACTTCCAAATCATGTTTAACACAATGCACACAGATATATTCACAGGCAGCATTATCATACGGCTCATTTCAATTCAACACCGATGCACTCACAGCACCAACAACAATTCACATTCATAATTATAATTATTAATAATAATCTCGTGCATGTGCATGCCAGCCACGCTCACTGTGGTATTGTGATAACAGATTTACACTATGAATAGTCGCCGGTTACCCTCGTCTCACGGATACCACGTGAGCAGTCACGGGTCGCTCAGCAAAGATAGTGGTCAGAGGTCTAGTCAAGAAGAGAGTGTGTGACCCATGGTACACCCGCTCCACAGTCGGTGTCACCACCACTCTCCCTTCCCCAAGGTATTCCTACCGTTCTCATCTTCCACACCTCAGTGTATCGCTGAACCATTCATAGCCCACTACAACGGCGCTAACCCGCCCTATTCACGCATACAATATTCATGCTTACACACGACACACAACCCACATTGCATTCATAATACACGGCACTAGGCTCACATTCGTTTCACAGTACACGGCACATAGCCTACATTCTTTCACAATACACGGCACATAGCCAACAACTATCCATAATACACGACACATACCCCATATTTATTCATATTACATGACACATAGCCTACATTCATTAGCAGTACACGGCACATAGCCTACATTCTCTCACAATACACGGCACATAGCCTATATTCAGTTATATTATACGGCACTTGGGCCCACATTTGTTCACACATCGCAATACACAGCAAATTCCACCAACTGCATATTCTCTCATCCACACACATAATATTCACATGTCACGGCACATGGCCCCTATCATATTCTACAATCATTTCCATCAAACACATATTTTCTACCCTCTAATTCAGCCACATCACAGTATTCAACTAAATAACAATAAACCACACACAATAGAGTAGGGTAGAGTCCCCCTTATCTTGGATTGAAGACTCACACTTAGATTCAACCTCGGAAGCGTTCCTCTCATAGATTTCGGCCTAAACACATGGAAGAATTCCATGAGAACCTAAGGAAATCACGAAAACAAGAAATGGGGATGAAAAACAGAAATCCTAACCATTAAAATTCACCTCCAAGTGTCCCCTACACAGATTCAACCTTCAATCTAGTTCCCGAACGGCTTTGGAGGCAATTTAATAGGTAGAATAGGGCTTTAGGTCGAGAGGATCGAAGAGATTTGGAAGGGAAATAGGGAAATGAAATCTCAATCCCTAAACCTACTTTAAAACCCTTCTGGTCGCGACACTCTCGCTACAACGACACACTCCCGCTGCAGCGGCACCCCTTGTCGCTACAACAAAATTCTCAGACAAAATTGTACTCTGGTTTCTGCAGAATCTCGCTACAGCGAGACTGTACCCAGAAATGCACTCTCCTCTGTTGCTCTCTCGCCACAGTGAGACATCTCTCGCTATAGCGAGAAGACGATAGTTCACCCTTTTCCTCCCATGGCCCTCTCGCTACAGCGAGAAGACCTTGCATCTAGGCACTTAGTCTATTTTTAGCCCAATCCAGTCATACATACATATATATATACCCACATCCATATATTTTATACACACAGACATCATTATTACGCATTCAAATGCAATTTACATCATTCATATTTCATCATTACACACTTAAGTGTAAATTCTCACATCCATTCTCATTTACACGCATATACATACACACACACACACAGATATATATATACGTCAATAACTAATATTGCCAAAATTTGGGGCGTTACAACGATCATCATCAGCTAGAGGATATAGAATAGCAGAACCTCAACTATAGTTTGAAATCTCAATAAAATCAGTTAAAAGAGGCAGTCAATTCATATGAACCATAAATTTTGATTTATCTGGAAACAATACCCCACTAAATAGTACCATTATGTACGCTCTAGTGTAATGGATAACAGTTTGTCCATCAGTATTGTGAGGTAATGCTCCAAATATATCTGTGAACCATTATAGATTTACGAAAAATCTTTTTTTGTTTCTCTCATCAGGAATTGCTCCAAGTAAATTTTCACACAATGCCCATATATTTCGATCATAAAATTTCTCCTACGCTCCAATGTAACTACTCACAGGGACTCTATCTGCACGTAAGCCTAGCTGAAACACAACACCCTCCAAAGTGATCATACATTCTCCGTATTGAAGATGAAATGTGTGTGACTCAGGCCTCCAACATTCTACAAGTGCACTCAAATTCAGCCGATATAGATCGTTATCCATCTTCCTTCATCGTCTCCGTTGTTATCTGGTCTAACTCTCTCTGGTCTCCTTTCTCTCTCTAGTCTCTTCTCCCTAGTCTAGCTCTCTCTCGTTTGGAATATATAGTAGTCGATTATATTCGTCTTTAAAATAACATCGAAGTCGATTTTAATCATTTTACATGTACTATGCAAGTCGACTTAAATCAACTTCTTTGGATCCAAAAAGCAGCAACAAAAGTTGACTTTAATCGACTTCAATGGTGCAGGAAAGTCGACTTCAATCGACTTCGTTGAAGCATGATGGACAAAATGAAAGTCGATTTAAGGTGGATCTGCAAGAAAGGAAATTGATTTTAATTGATTTCAATTAGCTGCTTTCAGGACATTTGCATAAAAAAAAATTCAAGACACATGCGTAATTTTATATTCAAAAAGTTATATTTCTATAAAAAAAAGCCCTATTAAGTATTTTTTTTTAAATTATATATTTCTTTAGGTAATTTAATTGATAGTAAAATCTTTGGACTTCTAAGAAAAAATTCAAAACTTTAGCTCTAACAAAAATGATATTCATGACTCAACTCCTCTCGTAACCTTTATCCATAACATGTATGGATACAATTTTCTGCAATTTTAATGCAAATTTAGATTTGTTTAAGCAAAAACATAATATATTCTCACTTCTATCCAATTCTAGTTCCTCCTCCCAAGCGAAACCTAACCTCTCTTTTCTACTCTCACTTTTTCTCCTTTTGTTAAGAAATTTTTTTTATTTTGCTTAAATAATTTTTTTTACTTAAACAAAAATTATTATTTTTATTTCACTTAAACAAATTTATATTCACTTAAATAAAAATACACGACAAGTTGTAGTACATGCTATCCTAGCATTTATTAAAAGAAACATGTTATTTACATAGTTATCCCATAATATATTGATACAAGTTTTCAGAATGTATATCATAATATGATATTTTAACATGAATGTAAATAAAATCAAAAGTCATTGTAACATCATAGGAAGTGAGGCATATGAGTGTTCAAATCTTGTTAAAACAATACATTTTGGGTGTGACATTACTTACAACATGTTTACGGTGAAAAATGACAATTTGTAAACAAATAATCCAAGAGCAATCTGGGGACTGGATTAAGTCCTCTTTGCTTTTTTTTAAGTGTGTTGTTAACGTAATAGTAAAATGGACGTTTCAGAATAAATAATTTAGCAAGAATAGTGAATATGAAACACGTAAAACTGAATCACAACGTAGAGGTTCTTTGCAGAAAGTGCTAAATAGGAAACAAATTACAGAAACAAGAACTAAATTGCGTACAAGGAAATAAGCAAAAGGAACATAAATTAAAATGCGGAAGGGTAAATGTGCAGGAATGTAAACGTACGACTCCTCACAATAGCGAGTAGCGACGACCGTGAGTCTCCTTGTAACTGGTATCTGGCGCGGTGCAGCGTTTCAGCATGCAGAGGTTTTAGGTGCAGTGTCAAGGTGCAAAAAGTCGTCCTATGTAAAATGATGCTTTGGAGTATTTATAGGTAGGAGGACCATCACCGTTCTCCTACTTTTGTGGGCACTTCATAGTAACTACCTTCAACTGTTGATACCCATTATCCACGATTGCTTGTGATCGTGCTGTTGGTTGGGGCTTCTTTCATAACCGCTATCGCCCACGATCTCCTTTGCATAGTGGTGAATGTTGATGACTGCTGGTAACCGTTTTTGGATTTTGCAATGACTTGACCTATCAAGACTTTTGTTTTTCTATCTTTCGAGTGTTTCTGGGAAAAGTCTAAGAGGCTCATTTAGTGTTCTGGCCTTAGAATAATTTCTCCTTGATTTCTCTTTTCTACTAATTCTGGAGTTTTGAGAGCTTGTCTTAGTCTTGTGGACTTAGAATATTTTTCTTTGCTCATTTCTATTTTTCAAGAAATTCTAGAGTTTTGAGAGCTTGGTCTTGTGGACTTAGAATATTTTCTTTGCTCATTTCTATTTTTTGAGCAATTCTGGAGGGACTCTGGAGCTCAACTAGGTTGACAGACTTAGAATATTTTCTGACTACTTCCTATTTTTGAGCAGTTTTGGGTGTTAGGGACTTGGAAACTCTTCAAAACTCTTCAAAAAGGACATTAGTTTTGTGAACTTAGACTATTTCTTGACTACTTCCTGTTTTTCTAGCAATTTTGGGTGTCAGAGACTTGAAAACTCCTCGAAAAGGCCATCAATTTTGTGAACTTAGAATATTTTCTTGTCAGTCCTGTTTTTCGAATAGTTTTGGGTGTCAGTGACTTGGAAACTCCTCGAAAAGACCATCAGTTTTGTGGACTTAGAATATTTTCTTGTCAGTCCTACTTTTCGAGCAGTTTTAGAGAAAAATCAACGAGGTGACAAAAACCTCTAAAATAGCTCGAAATGTGTCTTTTTTGATATGACACCAAAAGATTTTGGATAACTTTCTAATACTTCTCAAGTTTAGACTTAATTTTAGGCTCCTTCCTAACCCTCAACATTTTGGCGAAATGTAACTTCCTTCAACATGATTCTTAACTTAGAAAATTTTCTTTACCCCAAACACAACCATATTAAAAAAAATATATTATTTAAAATATAACCTTCTACTCTATTAAGTATTTTAAAAATAACAAGGTAATAATACCTTATCGCTTGGCAAAAAGTGCTACAAAGAAAATATTAGCTAAAACGTTAAAAACTAAGCAGAAGTTGAAAGGTAATAAATTAATTGATTAAATTAAAAGTGTTAAAAAACTGACTTATTAGTGCAAAATGATATCTTTAATTACTTAATTATAACTTAAAACTTCTAAACTATATATTTTTAAATAATATTATTAATAGAAAGAAAATAAGTAACTTGCTGCTCACAACTCACAACACAAACTAGTGAATATACAATATTTTGTAGCTATATCCATACATATTATGGCTAATATATATTACAGTAAAATCTAGATCTTTGAAGTTTCATTGGATTGTGAAGTGCCAACACGACTAAGACGTTTCTTCCTGTATTTCCTTGCAACCTGGATCCTCGTTGCTGCAAAGCGTCTCCAGTAAGGTGCTACTTTCCTAGGATAATGGAGAAAGCAAAGTGCTATGTCAGTTAAGAATTTGAAAACAAAGACAGGCCTAAGAACATGGATTAAAAAAGGTAGTGAATACCCATTCGAGCATATATTCATATTAGTTCATAGAATATATAAATTATTTTTTCTAATATGTATCTAATGACCCGTAATAAGAATTTATATATAAGAACTTTTTATTAAAAGATATACAATATGACAGATCCAGTATATTAATAACATTAAATATTATATTATTCTAAATAAAAAATATATAACTCTTATTATGTGGCATTGGGCGCACGATAAAAGAAAAATAGATATATAAATTATGGAACCAAAACAATGTTTTAAAGGTATCAAATATTACTTCTTTTTTTTATCGAATTAGTCCTCGTGTCATGAATATCGAAAACTAATTTGATTGATGAAATAAATTTTGGATCTCCAGTTATTGTTACGTAATAGTATATGGGCCCTATCATGGTTTTGGGTAAGTTTGAAATCATGTTACTTGTGTATTTTTAACGTTTTGAAAAAGGATTTCATGATAAAAAAATATTTCTAAAATTTTGATTTTTGAACTAAGTTTAATAGTGTGGTGTAATCCATGTAATTAACTTCATCTTATAAGATAAAACTTTGTTGTTATTGATTATTTTCAATGTTTTCTTCTTGCTTTCCAGTAATTCATGTAAAGACACACTTCAAACTTAACTTGTTTTTTGCAAATTAATTTTTTTCCAATTCTTTTATAACTTAAATAAAATTAATGAACCCATTATTGATTTGAATGGTAAAAGGGCATGTTTTCTACCTTTATAAAAAGACCAATTAACACTTAACTAAAACCCATATATAATAGCGTAAGAAAATATTTGGCAAAAAATTATTAGGAAGAATCAGAAAGCCAGACATGAAAATAAGAAAAGGGGATAACCTTCCGGAAGATTCTTGCAAAAAGTCTTGTAACATCTTCAAGGTCTTCTGCTCTAAGGGAAAATGCATCCACATTTGTTAAGCAACATACTGATCGGTTACTAACCAGCCCTTGTGTTGGAATCCTTTCTTTTCCACAACCTGCAAGTGAAACTATGTTGATGTTGTTGACTTTTCCAAGCTCAGCATACCACTACATTAAACTATGAAACAGGCACTTATTCTAGCTTACAAGTATCCTAAGGAAACTGATTAAGGAGTGTTGAACATGCCTTAATAAATGCTTCAGATTACTTGACAAAACAAGTATTAAATGATTATTAGGTTTACAACATAATATATGCTTTAATTTTCAATGAAAACTTTCTACTTTTACTTCCTTAACCAGTACTTGTTACTATGTTAACATGTGCTTTTAGAAATGAAATGTACCTTGGTTTCCTAAAGGATGCTCAAGGCACCGTGTGAGAAGTTCTTCCCCACAAACACTCCCTTCAGATAGGGGAGCACTAATTCCATCTTCGCCAATGCTCTCCAATTGTCCGCGCACAATAAAAACCACCTTTTCTACCAGACCACCAGCATACAAAATTTTGCTTCCTTTGATATATGTTTTTTGTCTTAGCCTCTCACAGATGGCATCCAAGATACGCTCATCCAACAAGGCGAAAATTTGAACCTGCAGCGTATAAATGACAATATGATGCAATGTAAATAACAGAATTACTCAAAGAAGTTAACATGCAAACTAGTGAATTGATGCCAGAGATACTATATTACTTTCTTAACAAATGTAAAGCGATGACGTCTAATGTCCCTCTGGAGGTCTTCTGGCAAATTCTCCAAGAGCATTCCTTCATTCACCCCTCTTGTTGCAGCCCAGTTATAACGTTCAGCTTGTCTCACTCTCCTACATCACAGGCCAATCATATCAGTGAACTGGAATCTCTCTATCATTTTATATCATGCACACATTCATATGATTACAATGCCTGTATTTAAAGTTATAGCCGGCAAAATTGGCTACCCAGCCCATTTGGATCAACCAGTTGCAGGTGGGAGAATTTAGCATTCCGGGCCAAAAAGGTAAAATCTAATTCAGGTTTGAAAAAATGATGTCCAAAATGGATGAAGTCAGATTTTTGCAGCCTGCATTGGGCTTAATCAAATAGGACTAAAAAGGCCCGAGTTCTTTAGACTCAAAATTAAAGCTCAAGCCCTACATTTTATTAGGCGGGTTTGGGCCTGTCCGGTTGAGCAGACTTGTTTTTTAGCATATGCTCCAAAAGACATGCAATAGCCTCCTACATTATAGTAATAATCAGTAGCTTCCCATGTGCTTTCTTTGATCTTATTCCACATTGGCAGAGCTAGGATATTGATTCAAAGGAAGGAACTAGCTTGCATAAAAATAATCATGTAAAAGTTAATTGAAGTAATGTATACAAAGAAATGAAGAATATTGGCACTGACCCCCCTAATTGTAGGCTTGGTTGTTGTTGTACCTGTATTAGCTGCAATTTTGTCCTATACACTAGAACTATGGGTCGTAAGTAACCTCTTTTTCAGATATAAACAACCTCTCTCATGCTTATATATCCCACAATATCCTCTAACTTCCTAGCGATTGCATATGCATTTTAGCAATCAAACATGCATACAACTTGAAGCATTGTTAGGCAGACATAAATAAACAAGGGCTTAAGAAATTTCAAATTATTCAGACATAAGAAAATACAAACTATCATTAGTTTCTCAATAAAAGGGTGTTTAAGTTTCTAGTAGTTGCTGACTTGAGTGAATCTATTTTGACCAGTAAAAGAGTAATATTTTCAATTTAAACAATAAATTGCTCACAGTTAATATATACATGATCAAGAAATGGCATTTTGGAAAGGGGTAGAGGGTTAACAAGTGGGGAATATAATCAATTTAACAATGAATACTATTGAGAGCAACACGAGTCTGACCAAAATGAGGAAAACAGGTACCTTCTCAGATCTTCTGGTAAGCGTCGATGGCTCATCCATTGCTCAACATCGCGTTGTCTAAGTGACATTTCTAGACTCCTTGAAGAGAAAGTAAGAAAAGGAAATATATATCAAACATTTTGTTAACTATATATATCACAAGAGGCAAATTAATTAACCATAAAAAGCCACAAACATTACTCTAAAAAACTAGATATTAATTAGTACTTCAGCAGCTTTAGATAAAATTAGGCAGAGTAATTATCTGAACTCTTCCTTAAAGAAAACCTAAAATATCACTTAATTAAGAGAGGTGGAGTAAAGACAACGTTGTCCTCAAACAGCACTTGTTACTCATTATATTGTGTTCTAAACTTCTAGTTATGACATAATGAGGTATTGCATATATATATGAAACAAGACATTCTACCTGCGTCCAAGAGCCTGAAGAAAGTTCTGTATGTTTCCAATGAGAAGAGCAAACAGCAAAAGCCCTGATCCTATTATGACCATGGTAAAAACAACTTCCCAAACAAAATAGCTGGGGCTTAAATTGCCAGCCAGAGTACTAATTTGCTGCAAAAAATATCACATAGGTATAGCATTAGTAGAATTTTAATTATTTTGAAAAAAAAATATTGAATTTAAAAGCATGTCATTTATACAAAAAATTGAAGTATCTTGTTCTGAGGATAATTTCAATGTGGTTTATCTAGATTAATGAATAATCATTTTGCAATTTCAAGCTCTAAAAAGTAAAAAGACTGAAGCATGCATGTTATCTTGCCTCACTCATGTGCCTCAATTTTTTCACCCCGTAGGCAAACTTTATGCCACCAAAGTGCTAATAAGAACACTCCTCACAAATACACTGGCAACAGAACGAACTTGAAAATAGTAAACACAGTTACTATTGGAAAAAGAAGTTAATGATATACCTGGAATCCCCAGAATGATGAATATACATATCTGGTGAAAACATTATGATCTGTAGTAAGGTTGACAGCTTTCAGATAGATCCCATACTTAAAACCATCCTCAGTAAAACAAGCACTTGCATCAGAACTGTTCCTCCAGTTAGACACATTTTTTGTGTAATTATGATATTCTTCAGTTGGTCCATGCCCACAATCAATGAATTTTGCGCATTCATCAAAGTATGTTTTGCTGCAAGCATCTCGTAAACATTGATTGACCCTCTGGGACAAGAAAAAGGGACAATACTGAAATTAATAATTGAATATGAACCTGTATTTGATGTAACCACTTAAACGAAATTCTCTCACTTTAATTGAATCTCTCAACATCATTTCATTATCATTTGGTAGTAAATAATTAGTGTGCACCTGTGTGTAATGGATTTTGTTCATTTCATTAATAATGCACCTTGCTTGACACAATTTACATTCCATGTTAACAATAATGCACAGTGACAAGGATATCAAAAGTATGCAACCATTTCTCTTTTCCAGTTCTCATGAGTTCAGCAAGAGATTAACCATGTTGGGTTGAGGAGTTTTCAGGTAGGAAGTCTCACAAGGAGTAGGACACCACAATGCAACCCCAAAACCTAAAGCAATGGATACATGAGTTCATCTCCTTATAACCCTCACTTGCTCATATCCCATTCTATGTAGAACTAATTCACACTTGACTCCAACACTCTCCCTCAAGTGTGAACCTATCTATTTCATGTCTGCTTCCTCCATAGCGGATATTTTGTTCATCCATGAGTATCCATGGTCTACACCACGTGAGCTGTTGTCCACTTAATGACACTTTTTGGACTTCATACCCTCCACACGTGGATCATCTAGTGTCACCTTTTCTTCTACGGTGCACTTTTTACACTGACCATGAGTCCATACCGTCGACTCACTCGATTGCGATTCATCTACTCGTCTGAGCCGCTCACCTAGATTGATTAAGCTCTGATACTACTGTTGGGTTGGAAAGTTTTTAGGTATGGAGCCTCACAAGAAGTAGGACACCACAATGCAATCCCAAAACCTTAAGGCAATGAGTACATGAGTCCATCTCCTTATAGACCCCTAACTTGCTCATATCTCATTTTATGTGGGACTAATTCACACTTGACTCCAACAAACCAAGAACTCTTTAAAACTTAATGCTGCTCATAAATTCAAGTTGACTAATTTCCTTTTCAATTTATTCATAGGTGTATTACTTTAAAATAAAACAAAAAACTAGCAGGAAAATGATTGTCACTGAAAAAGAAATTAAATTTGTATAAATGAAAGGCCTTAACCTACCTGCAAACCAAAGAGATACCACCATGACCCAACAGAATGGCCAGATAGCATAAAGGTACAAAGATTTATAAAGAAGCTTGCCCATGGTGACTCAAATATGAATCTGGTTGGAGAAATAAGCATAGGAAGAAACCAACACAATCTGGGAATATACTGAACAAGGATTGCGATACGCAAAAAATTCTTTGCATAGTTTGCTCCTGATGGCCTCAAGTGTTTTGGTAGGAGAAACAATATTAATATCTGCAAATATTTCACTGAATTAAAACATGAGAGAGTGTTTAACATGTATATACACCCCTCAAATATCCTTCCATATAAAAAAAAATGGCATATCTTTTTCTTCCTCTTATCCCATCTATTTATTCTTAGGTGCATGTTCATGTACACAAATAAATATTATTCCTCAGGTTGTCCACACCAGAGAAACAATAAATACACCATCTGAACTTCAAACATGATAATGTAGAAATTAGAATCAACTTAGAAAGAAATAGACAAACAAGGCAGGTAGTATTAGAAATTTTTAAGAACATAACTTAGGTACAATACTAAAGGTATTTTTTATGTTATTCTCTAATTAAAGTTAGAGTTTCACATTAGTAATATGTGCCAATCTTTAATGCAAACCTTTATTGTGTGGATTATTAAGATGAAACTCCAATTTTAATTGAAAAATAGCCCAAAAATACACACGGTTCTGCACCTAAATTTTTTCCAATTTTTAATAATTACTCAGCCATAACATGAAAGTAATGATGATATAGATTAAATTAATTTAAGGCCCCTTAATTATTAGGGGATTTTGAAATAGGTCCCTATACTTTAAAAGTTTGTAATTAGATTCTTCTAAACTTATAAATATTTTTAGAACACGTTTGTTTCAGCTTTTTTTCAAGAAAAATTCCTTCTATTTTAGAAAAACAAAATTCAACAATTTTTGTCATGTTTGGTTAAGTTTTCAAAAAAATCACTTTTTTATTCATTTTGAGTTGTTATTTTTAATAGCTTTAAAAATGTTAAGATGCCCCACATTGGTTAGGAATAGAGTCAGAATACTCCTTATAAGGGTTAGGGTAGTCCTCCTCCTATTAGCTAGCTTTTGAGAGTGAATTAAGCCCAAGTTTCTTAACCTTTCACTTTTTTATTCATTTTGAGTTGTTTTTAATAGCTTTAAAAATGTTAAAATGTTCCACATTATTAAAAATGTTAAAATGTCCCACATTGGTTAGGAATAGAGTCAGAATACTCTTTATAAGGGCTGTGATAATCCTTCTCCTATGAGCTAACTTTTGAGAGTGAATTAAACTCAAGTTTTTTAACCTAGTATCAGAGTTAAGCCCAAGTTTCTTAACCTGGTATCAGAGCCTATCCACAAATACTTCTTATAAGGAGGCTTTAGGCCCAAGTTTCTTAAAAAAAACTGAAATTATAAGTAGCTTTTTAAAACAAAAGTGCTTTTTATAATTTTAAACAAACAAAATACAACTACTTATTATAAGATCTCTCAGACATAAATCACTTTTTGATATATTTTTACAATCACTTTTTTTAAAAGCTTGAACAAGTTGTCCCTTAATTGGATTCCTAGTTAAGGTTCCATTAGGATTTTGTTAAGTATAGGAACCTAATTGAAAATTTTCAATAACCTAATTGAAAATTATATACTTGGCAGAACCCTAGTCAATAACCTAATTAAAAATTATTCATTAGTTTAAAGACAAAATTACAAATTTTAAAAGTATAAGAACCTATTTATAAATCCCCAAATAGTTCAAGTATGCATCATTATATATAGCAAATCAAACACGCTTAAGTCCCTTAAAGAAGAAAATTATAATCAAAATAACTACTATCCTAAATAAAACAGGGAAAGGGCAGGGATTAAATTATGTCAAGAAGAAAAAATCCATCCAAATGTCTAATACATCAAATTTAAATTACTAAAATGTCATAGTAATTAGTCTCATGATGTGGCTAACTTTAGGGGTAGGGATCTTTATGTTTTCCTTATATGTCAAATAAAAAAAAGGCAACTGAAAATATTTTAGTGATAGGATATAAAACCAGACAAATTCCATTTCATTGTATTGCAAATCAAAAAATTCACATTAGATGTATGATACACAGCAAAGTTAAAATAAACAAGAAAGAAAGGGAGATGGAAAGAGATTTACCTGAGGAAGTGGAAGTACAACAAATAAGTCAACAATAAAAGATGTTTGTAGGTAGTGAAAAGCTATTTTTTTAGGATCATCGACTAACTCCCCTGCACCAACCACCAGAGACTCGGGAGCCACATAAGCCAACCTAAACTGTAAAGAATAAACTTGAAAGAATTAATTGTGCTGTGCTTCATCAAAGAAGAGTACCAACCTAGACTTGTGAACAAATAAAACTAGATTTAAGATTCAAAACAATCACTCTTCTCTATTCCATACCAAAATAATGGGCACACTATGGTCTCAACCTCCACATTTATTCACTAATCACAATTGTGACTGTTACTGTGTTACACAAAACTTGGATGGGAAAAAAATGGTACAAAATGGACACGAAAGTTTTTAATCAATAGAAAAATTTTATTATACTCCGCAAGTCTGTAATCTGATGATTTTCAAATAGACAGATTTTACATCTGATGCAAAAAAGAAAATGAAAATCATGATTATGAGGTTGTTCTAAGGATTATTCAGCAGATTATGTTATCCTCTTACAAACAACAGAAATGGAAACTTATAGAAGAAGCAGCTTAAATATTTTTGTCAAAGTAACATAATTGAATCTCCAGATTAAATACGAATAATAGTTACAAATTTAAAACCACTTGAAATTTCTTAAAAGTTACCTGAAGAATAATGTTTAGGAAGTGTATGGAATCATTTATGCTTCTAAGTACAACAAGCATTGTTGTCATAGTCGAGTTTATGACAATACATTTATTTTCCTGCATACAAGGGGCCAAGAGCAAAAATTAGATTACATTTGCAAATAAACTACACAGAGAATTGAAGATAAGTTCATCAGTGACAACATCAATAGTAGTGACTATACTTGAATTATTGATGCCTATAAACCAGTGAGAAGAACACCAATAAATTCACTTCCGTCTAGGGAAAAGCCAACTTAGGTTAGTGAAAAAATAAAAGAGAATTCACAATTTTGTTTTTCAATATTGGAAAAGATATAAGCTCTGTTATTAAATCTATTTACTTTAAAGATCAAGGTTCAGTCCAAGCTTGGTATCAACAGACAGTTCATTGATGAATGTTTCATAACCTGTCAAAGGTTAAAGTATCCTCGTTTCTCATAGTGATTATAAATACAGATTGAAGCAGGGCATAACTTTTAGCATGAAAAACACAAACTCACATACTTACACACAATTACTAATATTTAGTGAGAGAAATAGATTCAAGTTTAAAAGAAGCTATAGATATGATTGATACAAAAAAAAGTGAGTTGAAAATGTCATTTTTCTTTAAGGATGTCATGACAAACTGGAGTGCTTCTTGTGTAACGTCCCAAATTTTGTGATTCTTTTATGACAATTATATATATATATATATATATATATATATATATATATTGTGGATGTTGACTTGTGGGTGGACTAAAGGTGCTTGGAAAGATATATGTTGGGGGTTGACAATGGACTGTAAGGGCATTCTTGTTATATCGAGAAAGTCTTGGGCAAGTTAACGTGTCTATGTTGCATTCTCGCTATAGCGAGAAGGTTGCAGGAGGTGTGGGGCGTCTTTGTTGCGTTCTTGCTGTAGTGAGAAAGCAACAAAGAAGGTATGTTTTTTGGGCTTAACTTCGCTATAACGAGATTATGCAGAAAACCAGTGCAGCTCTGTCTAATATTTTCGCTGCAGCAAGACATCATGCTGTAGTGAGAGAGACCTCGTTGTACCGAGAATGTCATGACTCTTAGAGTATTTGAGGGTTTTAGGATTGAAAAAACATATTTCTCACTTTCTCTTCAATCTATCTTTTGATTCGCTCGACCTCTAGCCCTATTCCACCGATTAAGGAGTCTCCAAAGCCGTTTGCGCCCTAGATTAAAGGTTGTGATTTCGTTTTGGACGTTTAGAGGTAAGTTTCATGAGTTAGGGTTTTCATTTTTACTCCTCCTTTATTCTCCTCAATTTCTCATGGATTCTTCTATTGTTGATTGTGTTGTGAGTCTTCATTTCAAGGTAAGGGAGAAACTGTACCCTATCTCTTTGTGTTGAAATTCGTTTATATTGTTACGTATTGAGATGTGATTGAGATAGAATTTAGGGAGTGGGTGTTTTAATGGAAATTGTGTGATTGATCATAATGTGGCTGATGTTGAATAATGTGTGTGATGAAAATTATCGAATGTATGTATACATGTCATGTTTGAGAATGAATATTATGATACGATTGGTAATGTGGGTGAATGAGTGTGAATGACATGTTGATTGTGATTGAGGTGTATTTGGAATGGTTGAAAACTATGAATAGTTACAGCGATACTTTGGTAGTGTAGAAGATGGGGTGGTAGAAATACCTTAGGAAAAAAATGGTGGTGGTGACACCAACAGTGAGCATGGGTTCACCACAGGCCACATACTCTTCTCCTGACTCAGCCTCTGACCAATACCTTTGTTAAGGAGTCCGTGACCGCACATATTGTATCCATGAGGCGGAGGCTAATCAGCGACCATCCATGGTATGGAACTGAGTAAAATCCCTAAGGTTGAGGGCGTCAGAAAACTGTGATCACAGTACCACATTGAGTGTGACTAACATATAGTGAGCATTCGTGTGTGTGGATTAATTTAAGGTGCAATAAGCGTACCTGTGCATGATTGATAAGTCATGATTTTATGTGAGTTGGTTGTGCAGTGAGTGTATTTGTTTGTATGGGTTGACTTGTGTGGTAGTGTAAACTTGATGTGTGTGTTGTTGAAAAGAATTGATCAATGCCTGCTAAGATATAAATTAATTATGTTAGGAATGGCTTGAAATAGGCAAGGTGAGTCTGTAACACCCCAAATTTAGTAATAATATTTTGATTGTTAATATAAGTATGTGTATTGTTAACTGGATGTGCACCTTCATTTATATGATGATGTGGATATGTGTATATATATAAATTTATGTAAATAAATATATGTGAGTATTGACTTAGATTGACTGAAGTTGATTGGAAATATAGGCTAAGGATGAACTGTGCAGAGACATTCTCACTGTAGCAAGAGTAATCTCGTTGTAGCGAGAAGGTCCTGGGTAAGTGGCGTGCATCTGTTGTGTTCTCGTTGTAGCGAGAGAGTCTCGCTGTAGCGAGAATAAGCAGAAACTAGGGAGCAGTTTGGCCTGAAATATTCCCTGTAATGAGAAAGGGTCTCGTTGCAGCGAGAATGTCGCGACTCTTAAGGTATTTAAGAGATCTAGAGTTAATGAAGACGCATTTCCCACTTTCCCTTTTGTTTTTCTTAATTTTCTCAATCCCAAGCCCTTTTTCACCGATTGAATTACCTTCAGAGCTGTTTGTTGTAACATCCTATGCTTTGTGTCATGCCTGTAGTATATTAATGAGAAAAATCTGTAGTACTTTGTGAGCAGAAAGAAACTGTGTATGTACAGTAACCCCTAATGTCAACAGTGACATAACGCTGATGTCATCGGTGACATCATCGCTGACCTCACGCTGACATCATCACTTATGTCATCGGTGATCTCACGCTGATATCATCGCTTACATCATCAGTGACATCATGTTGATATCATCGCTTATGTCATCGGTGATCTCACGCTGACATCATCGCTTACATCATCAGTAGCATCATGCTGACATCATCGCTTACATCACGTTGACGCTGACATCATCGCTTGCATCATGCTGACATCATCGCTTACATCACATTGACGCTGACATCTTCAAAAAAAATTTCTATAAATAGGGGAGACTTCACATGAAATTTTCATTCCCAACCAAGGTTCTCGAAGGTTCTAAGGTCATATCTCGCCATTTTCTCCCATACTAAACCTCCTAAACTTATATTTCTCTTCAGATCTGTGATTCTACGTCCGTTCTAAAGGATTTCAAGTAAGTTTCTCTAAGTTTGAAGTTAGATTTACCGTTCGTTTCTCTTCTTCTTCTTTTTCTTATAGATATTCATGATGTTCTTAGGAAAAACTCCGTTCTAGAGTAAAAATCTTCGGTTAAATCCTTGCAAAAGCTCTGTTCTGAGGTAAGGGGGCTTTACTTTATCATTTTGTTATGTTTATTACTTGTATTCTCATAGATCTTGTCATGTATGTGATTATATGTGGAATAATCCTTGTTTTATGAAAAATAATCGGTGAAAAGTGAGAATAATTGGTTGTTTATGTGATTTATGATGAATACATGGTGAAAATGTGATATTATGTCCAAATAAGGCACGATAAGGTATATTAAGGATGATTGATATGATTATATGATTTTGTGATATGAAATATACAAAGAGATGGATGTTTCATGTTTGAATATATTGTGTTTCATGTAAAAATGATGTGTATTGTTAATATGCCATGGTTTGATGTATATGATGAAAAGTATGTGGAAATATGATAAAAATATGTGTGAACATGAGAAATGGCATATGTGAACATGTGAATATACTCGAAAGAGTATGAGATGGAAAAAGATATTATGTAAATAGTTACAGAGATACACTGGAGAGTGGAAGATGGAGACGATATGGGATATCTTAGGGAAATGCAGGGTGGTGAGTGACATTCAGGATTGTGCACGGAATATTGTGTTCGAATGCACCACATGGCCACACACTCGTTTCCCGACTTGACTCCTGACCATTACCTTTGCTAAGGGGCCGTCTATTACATGCGTTGTATCCGTATTGCATTGGACCATCCGGCTACTATTTACATGGATGTGTAAGACCTCGGGATAGAGGCATCGGATAACTGTGGCCACAGGGCGCGGTAAGCGCGGATGAAAGTAAAAGAAATTGTGAATCTATGAAATATAATCTGTGTTGAGATGAGAATATGCTATATATGACACTGTGATATGTAATGCCATGATGTTTTCTTTAATCGTGATAAGATGTGTGTGATGAATATGTGTTATGTATGAGTGGTAGGGTAGAGACTCACCCTTACACAACATTTTTCAGGAAACCAGGACGAATAGTACCAGACTCACAGTGCATGGATGGATGAGAACTGCTATAGGACTTAGTTATTTTGAGTTATGTAATGAATATTTTCAGTTTTATAGCATTCTTTTGAAACAGTTGTAAAACTACTCTTTCTTTTTATTGCTGATGAAAATTCTAGAATCTTTGTTTTTTCTAAAGTACTTATGAATTAATGAAATTTTACTCTATGAACCTTATATCATTTCCATGTCTGTTTCTATTTAGAAAGTTTTTGAAAAAAAAAATTACTCTACTATTTAACTTTTTATGAAAATTTATTATATATTGAGAAAAGAAATATAAGGCGTTACATTTGTACCCTAGATTAAAGGTTAAAATCGTGTTTGGAATGTTTGGAGGTAAGTATTATGAGTTAGGATTTTTGGTTTTTGCCTCTTTCCTTGTTCTTTTGATTTCTCATGGATTATTCTATGTATTTAGGGCGAGAATCCGTGTAGGAAGTATTTTTAGCATTGATTTTGTGGTGGGTCTTCATTTCAAGGTAAGGGGGAGTTGATCTCAAACCTTAACTTCTCTTGGGTAGTTTGAATTGAAAAACCCTTACTTACTTTCATAACTATCTAAATGTAACTTGTAGTAAAGTTTGTAAATAAAAATATCTTTGAGAAATATTATGATTTTACTAAGAAAATATTGTTTAGAAGTAGTTAAGATTTGTTATTTGATGTTTTTGAAGTAGTGGACATGTTATTAATAATGGATCATGCCAAACTTTATGATAGACAACCTTACTATTACTGAGAGAATATGTATGTTCAATTGTACGATTGGGTTGAGTTCAGAGGTGTCTGATCTCTGGTACATTGTATTGATCTGTGTGATGTATGAACTTTTTGAGAGTTTTTTGTGTTGAATAAATGTTGTTGATGATTGAGGTATGTAAGAATTAGTAGAATGAGGTTGTTAATGAAAAGTGTTATATTATTCTTGAATAAAGATATAGTTTGATGTATGAAATGAAATGATGTGACATAATAGTAGAATTATGAGAAGAGTGATTATAATATGGGAATCAGAATAATTGATGGATGTTATTATAACACAGGTATTGTGGTACATCTAAAAGGTGTATTCATAATACATGTATAGTAATACATCAAGTTATGTGGTCAAGACTCATGTATTATGACACGTTGACTTGTGAAAGGGATATGAAAAGAATAAGAAATGTTGGTGGTGAGTTTAGAAAGCTACAGAGATACACTGGGGTATAGAATCCGGAGAAGATTTGAAAAATCTTAGAGAAATGAGGATGGTGAATGCTAAGTGTAAACGAGTGCAATAATTTGTTAAAAATGAAAGCATTCACAGGCCATACACTCATCTCTTAATGAGACTCCTGACTATACATTTGCTAAAAAGGGTCAGGTCGACACACGTGTATTCGTATTGCTGCGGCTAACTAGCAGCTATCTAAGTTATGAAGTCGTCAAGGGATCACAGGAGCATTGAATATGAAAGTACAATGTATATGAAGTAGTATAGAAGTTGTATGATTATAATATATGTATTGTAACATATCGGTTGATGTTGTTATGATATATGTGTTGTAATACATCGACGAGTGCGATTAGGACACATGTTTGTAACATATTGATCGACGTGGTATAATACATGTATTATGACATACAGATTAGTAGAAAGACACATGTTATGAAAATTTGCAGAAATAGTTGATTGTTTGTTTTGTGTGAACTCCGTTGTGATAGTGAATTGTATGATTTGAGTGTCATTATTAATTTAATCTATGTTAGAAAATATTTTTAGTATTATATATATATATATATATGTGTGTGTGTGTGTGTGTGTGTGTGATTATCTTGCTCATGTTAAATAAGAGATTTAGTAGGACGTAAGATACTCACAATTATTAATATTTTCAAGAAATAAAAGTGAAGAGATAAAGATGGTTGGTTTGTCCTAAGATCATAATTTAAGGGTATTAGAATGAAGACTGTTATGTAAGGACTAGGATAATTTGAGAAATTATATTGTTTTATCCTGATTGTATTTCATGATGACCAAAATTTGTAAATAATTTTCAATGTCGAATTTTAGATTTTATAATACTTGGACAAATTTTGTGGCAATGAATATTTTAGAAATGTTTTTAGTATAAACTTTAAATTCATGTGTATCCAATACGTGCCAAATAATTTGCTAGAGGTAAAATTTAGTTTTATTTATTACCTTAAAATTTCAAAATTATTCTTTAGAAGTTTTAAATTTTTTAAAATTTTATGAAACTTTCATAAGAAGGAAATATAAGTTTTGTCTTTATTGAATTCTTAAATCCATGAATAAGAACAAAATTATTTTTTTCATTCGCTATAAAATTTATTTATTTTGAATGAAGAAAATGGAGATGTTACATAGTCTCTATATTTGTGCATGTGATAGTGTAGAAGACTCACACTTACATTCTATTTTTTAAATAACCAAGATGATCAGCACCAAGCTTAGTAACTGAGATAAATGACACTGCTATAGGATTTAAATTTTATTTTAAAAATTGTAATTTATTGAACGAGTCCTGTAGCATTTATTTTGATTCAACTTTGAAATTCATCTCATATTTTGAAATACTTTATTAGAATATTATACTTGAAACTATTTCAAATGAAAATTTTTACCATTTCTTTTAAATCGTGAAAATAATTTATTGAAAATAAATAAGGTGTTATATCTTAACTATCTTAAAGTATGAAGATTTCAATGTCATTGACATAATTATTTATTGTGAATTGATTAGAGCTTGTATAAGTGAAACAAAGATTAGTAACTAGCTATAACTTGCAATAATTTGAACGAAAATAAAGGGGGCAAAAATCATACCTTGTGCACAGAGAGCAAGAAGAAAAATAATGGATCCACAAAAATTGCTACTAAGCAACAAATTGCAAGGATTTTATTCCATTGTTTTACAAGTTTAGTATGAGGATTCACAACTCTAGTAGTTCTTGCCCAATCCTTGGCATCCCCCTTAGTGGCATTGTGAAACTGAAAACATTCAAAATTGCACAAATTTGTTAAGTAACAAGAGCTAATATTGTCAAAGTGATTCATAAGATAAAATATCTACAAAAGGAAAAAAAATTAAAAAGAATATTGCCTACAATGACACAATAAAGGTTGCTAGAATTTTCAAGGGTAGACCGAAGTATTTTTATGGCAGAGTTGTGGTCTGGCCTTCAAGGATTCCCACGGTGCTCATGCCACATATAAGGGCTATTTTTGTAGACTTCTTTGTCTGATATGAAACTGGATTGTCAGACATTTCTGTCTTTATCTTTAATGTGCTTCCATATTTTTATTTAATCTTACATGACAACATTCAATCCTATTTTGAGTCCACCACCAGTAACAACTTCAAATTTTGTTACACTTAATTAGTTGACAATGGAAAAATATTTTATGTCAAAAGAAAAAACTTTATAACTAGAATTCTGGCATTTATTTTTTATACATATAACTATGGAAACCATTGGCTGCTTGAAATCACATGAGCGTAGTATATTTCAAACAATGACCTATGCATTATGACAAAATCATAATATCAAATCATAAGTGATTCTGAATATAAAATTTTGTCAGAAACATACAAATATAGAATAAAATTCTTGAGCATGATTCATGCAAGAACTTAGTAACCTGGAAGCAAAAGGTGTAATCTAAGGCAACTTCAAAATATAGTAGTCATCAACTTCTTAAGAAAAAAGAATGGATATTTTATCTTAGTAAGAAAGATACCTTAGTATTGAATATACCCGAAGCTTTTGAATTGCTTTGTTGAGTAGGCTTGATGTAAGTTGGGCAAATTGTACAATACGGATCGTTACACATTCCCAGTTGACCAGACCTAACTAAATGTTCATTCTTGCCATCATAGTTCTTCTGCATATCATTTTCATTCATGCCACTGCATGAAAAAACTTCTGTCCTACTTTCTGCTGTTTGGTTCTCTGGTGCCCAGAAATGGTTTCCAGGTCTATGCGAAACATTCAATGGACGACTCATCTGATTAGATGGAGTTTTTCTCTGACTCCTTAGGGGACCAGTGTGGCCCATAATATTAGTAGCTCTTTCATTTGGCTCCAACGATGTCATGGGAATAGAAACCGATGCATTTTTTGTCCCGGATACATGCCTCTGGAACTTAGAATCAACAGGTTCATTGAATGGTTTGAAATGAGTATCTAAGAGCAGCACCTCCTCTTTCTCAAAACCATCCATGCCTTTTTGACAACCCTGCAAATGGACAAATTAACAAAACATTCAATACCTACATTTCTATGTCAAAACAGTAATATCAAAGTTAAAATTAATTCAATCTCTACTCAAAACAATGAATAAATAAAAGGAAACAAAACATACAAAGAAGCATGAAAAGCATCCAAAGACCATATATAAGTGAATAGGCCAGATGAAACTTGATGCACTATAAGGATACAAGGAATCTCTTTCACCTACACTTATAGTCCATACAATTTTTAAGACTCAAATGACTGAAACTGTCGTTGAATTGATTGAAACTTTCTTGTTCATTATACAAAGAAATAAAATTGTGGTGAGTCAGAAAGAATATGAAATAAGATTTTAATGGTGTGTTCATTCTTCTTCAGTTGAGGATTGTTTTCTTCGATTAATTTCAGAAACTCCCCCACTCATGTACTATCTCTTTTCCTCCTCTTCACAAAATTCCATCCCTTCGTCAAGATGAAAGAATTAAAAACAAAAGCAAATCCAACTGCTTTTGTTGCAGCACCAATATAGGTAGGTTCAAGAGGTCCTCTATGTCAATTACTTCCTAGGAAATGAAAATAAAAAGTAAAGTATGGACAATATAACAATAATTAAGCACAAGCTTATCCCCTACACCAACCAAGCTTATTGAATAAAGTTTGCAATATCTTAAAGAGAGTGTTATGTTTCAAGGAACTACACTGCTCATTCAGATTCATCTCTCGAACAATTTCAGTAAAAAGCATTAAAAATGTTGACATCATCAACATTACCCCATGAAGAATCCATGCATAATATAGCATGATTGACTAAAGCAAGCAAAAGGGTATAAACAAGTAAATGAAAAAAAAAAAAAAGAATTCCAATTTCCAAGAATAGAAAACCAAGGAAACTGTGGAATAGACCTGTTTGAAGCTCACAATATATTCAAAACCTCTCACCACTAAGTGTTGACAGTGCTACAATGCAACCATTTGAAACCATACAAAAGCATAATTTTTTTAAGAAACCTTAGGGTCATGGCAAAAAAGAAGAGGAGACTCTCACTTATATAAGGAAGGATTCAAAAGGGTCAATGAGGGGGAAAGGAAAGGTTAAGGTGGTGATTAAGTAAAAGGAACTTCGAAGAAGTTGTGGTGTGAACAGAGGAAACAGAAGTACACGTTCGTGCTTGTTTGCCCCTTTTAACATGTTCGTACCTTTCCAGATGACGTTGTCTTTCAGATATTTTTTTGCACAAAATTTATTACAACGTTGTACAATAGGAAATGTTAACGTCAGCTATTAGAATTAAATGTAAATAAATCATAATAATAATAATATTTTATTAAAAATATTTATTATATTTTAATAACTTTAATATAATATATATATTAATAAAATGTCAATTAATCAAAGTTAACATCATGCATAGCATTAGATACAATAATATTTGTTTTCATTCTCATATTTTAAAAAATTATTCCTACTTATTGCTATATTTAATAAATAACAATTTTTATCTTCATTTTCATACCTACTAAATACTTAAATTCTCATATTCATACCGGGTTTTCAGAATTTGTTAACTAAAAAAAATATTTTTTATTTTTTATGAACTAATAAATTATAAATATCATTATAAAAAATTTATTTTTTTCAAAAATTTAAATAATATATAAAATTACAAATAAAATTATTCATCTAAAGTCAAATAAAAAATATAAAATATCAAAAATTATTTATTTGAACAAAATTATTTATTTGAAACTATAATTTAACTATATCTATACTTATTATGTGTGTATTTGCATATATTTATTTTATATGTATTAATGCAAGTACATGGGTACGTATACCATACTATACCAATAAATTTTATAAGTATTTACTTATGGATTTTATTTTTTTTAAGTACTCGATGAGCATAAAACTCATCTTTAAACATTATTAACATTTTTTTATTTTTAAAAAATTATTTAAAATGTTGTCCAAAAAAGACAAAATAATATCGTAATTAATATTATTTTTAATAAAAATTTCATTTGGCATTTGCAATTATTGCCTATTTTAGTTATCAAAACCAAAATAGTGATTATTGAAAGAAAATATCAAATTTTATTTGAAAAAACGTCAATATTATATCTGATATGATATCTAAATTTTATCTCATATAGCCATATAAATATAAAATAATATTTTTAAAACAACTTTAAGATAAAAAAATAAAAATATTTAATATATTAAAATATAAAATAGTTGGTATTTTTAATCTACCAATTAAGAAAATTTTAACCTAAAAATATTATAATGTACTTCTGTCCATAAATTTTAATAAAAATTATATTTTTATTCTTTAATAAATACTTTTATTAGAAAGTCTCTGTCACTCTAAAATATTTATTATCGCATCTTATTTAAAAAAATTTATTTAAATATTTTTATTAATAATTTAACTAATCAATAAAAACTATTTTATATAAAAATTATTTTAAAAATACAATAATAAACATTTTGAAGGTACAACTCCTTTTGTTAATAAGACTTTTTAATATAATAAATTAGTAATTTTAATAATACCTTATAAATTAAGAAGACACTTATACATGTAATAATTATCTAAATATGTATATTAGATAACGAGAGTTTTTAATTTATTTAAAAAAAATTATAAATATATTTTAATTATATATATATATATATAGGGGAATGATCTTCTTACATTGGTGTAAGTCTAAAAACTCTTACACCTAATTTGATTTTTTTATTTAACTTATATCTAACGGTCAGTGAAGTAATAAATTATAACTCATTAGATGTAAGTTAAATGAAAAGTTCAGATTACATATAAGAGTTTTTAGACTTATACAAGTGTAAGAAAATCCTGCCTTATATATATATTTATAAAAGACCAAAATAGAATAATGTTTACATTTGGTTATCATGTTTATATTTGAGAATAATAATTTTGTTCAACAAGTCAATGTGGGGTTCCTGAGAAACCATCCCTGAATTTCTTTCTTCAAGATAACTAATTATGATTCTTGGCTCTAACATTCTTCTTTTAATGACATTTTAAACAAATAATGTTAGTTAAAATATATTTAAAATTTTATTAAAATAAATTATTATTTTTCAAAATAAAATAATTTAATCATGCAACGTTCACTTATACATACTTTTAAAAGATGTTAAATATACTAGCAAAAAAAAAAGATGTTAAATATTCATTTATTCTTTCAATATTTTAAAAGGTAAATTACTTGTATCCTTTTATAATTTCACATTTTATTAAAGTATTTTTTTGTTGAAGTTAACCTTGAAGCGTTAAACATAAATGGAATATTTCTCAAAATCAATTTTAATTTTTTTTATTGAAATGTATGATTTTTATTATAAAATGTGAGGATTAATTTTTTAGATTAAATAAGATTTGGTCCCTCTTTTACCATTTTTAAAATCTTGTATCTCTAAAAAAATTACTTTTATCTAATTCTTCTAATAATAACTCATTAACTCTATGTCCATGTCATTATATTTTAAAAAATTGATATTTATTTTAAAAAATTAAAAATAAGAAAGCAAATAAAAAACACAAATTTTGAAAGATCAAACCTTTATTTAAGTCTAATTTTTTTTAACAATAAAACAAGCACAAGATCATTCCATGTAATTGAAATGTTTACGATTAAGACTCGTTTGCCAATAGTCTACACAAAAATCCAACGGTTACAATAGAATTTTCTCGCAAACCAAAGTGAGAAGGATGGAAGTGATAAATTCCTATTCCCACTAAAAGCGATTTTGATTGCTATAGAAACAGACACTTTCAAAACAAACAAATCCAAAATCATTTTCATCATACTCTACTCTCTATTCTTCTGGACGTGTTTCAATTACAACTTTAAACATTTCATTTCTTATTTTTTTTCTTTTTTCCTAAATTTATGAAGTCTTGATAAAGAATGTTTTATAGGTTTTTGATACAATGAATTTTGAGTGATTAGTGACTTTAATTTGGGTTAGAAGAGGCAATCAAACTTGATGATTCACCAACAAATGAACAATATATCTAGAAATTGTCAATGAATGACTACAATTGGAAAATACCTAATTCCACAATATAATTCAGCAGAAGCAAAACAATCACGTTTCTGAAATTCATAAGACATCCTTAAACGATGCCTTGATACCCACATAAAGTCACAGTTAAGAAGCGACATTTATTATGACAAAAAAAAATTACTTCCATTTGACAAAAGCAATGTAAAAGAAAAAACACATGCTCTTCATCTCAAATTAACACGTCTTTGAATTGACTAATTGATGTTAAATCTGTTATCTACCAGTAACATGATCCTTGTAAAGGAAAATCTACACTTCTCAGAAAAACATCTTGTATAAATACTTGCTGCAAAGAGCCGGAAAATAGGTTGTTTGGCAATTGCATATACAGTTTTCTTGGAATTCTTGCCCATCACCTGGTTCTTCAATCATGCAGAAAAAAGCATATCAAGCCTTGAAAAGGCAGAGGATGGTCCATGCAAAGGAAGAGAACCATCGAAATTAAAATGTCAACAGCTTCACATATACCCAAGCTTACTCTCTAGTCTCAACCATTAAAAGGCTTCAAATAATAATCAACACCTTATACCAGAAAATGCTTTATATCAATACCTAAGAAAATAATAGATTAGACAAGAAGCAAATGTCAAAGTTGCCCAAATTTTCTTCTCACATACCTTGAACTATAAAAGTTGTCTTCCCTCCATCAAGCTGCTATAAATCTTCATTTTGTGAACAAAGGGGAATGAAGAGAAAAGTTTACCAAACTGAAAGCCACTGTGGCCACTGAGAACTATTTAGTTGCCAGTCACCAAAAGATGAAGCGCACATATCTTTGTTCTCAAGATGATTAACTCCATGGCATCAAATTATTGTCAATGCAAATAATCTTGGTTAATGAATTGTCTGTTTTGTGATCTACTGGAAGGACCCATGGCAGAGAATTGACTCCTATTGAAGATAAATCCAGACAACCATGAGCAATTTACCAAAAATCTCCACAAGAGCAAACACCATCTTTGAAATGGTGAAAACGATTTGTGTCTCTTACAAAGATTTCTCTTCCTTCCAATCTACTAATAACTTTTATCACAGCATGGCAATCATCACAGATTCTCAGGTTCTTAATCACTTGAAGAGGTTGTCCTGGACTTGTGTTGAGTAGTCCTAATACTACTGCCAACTTCTCACTGTGCCCACACAATATCTGCTCCTTATCCTGTTCCTCCACATCTTGCAGCACAAAGTTAGTCTTCGGGAGGTAACCGGACTTCTTCATCTCCATATTCAATTTATCCAACTTCTCCAAAATCTCTTTCATTTGTGGATGTGATTGGTCACCAGCAAGAAGCGTGTGTACTTTGTGCCCAACTTCAATCCAACTATAGCCAGGGTTTTTCCTTAATCCCTTACTCTTCATCAGATCACGTATTCTATTTTCCTCATCCCACATGCCCTTTGAAGCATATATATTGGACATAAGAATGTAGTTCCCAGGGTTGTCTGGTTCTAACTGGAAAAGTTTCTCTGCAGCAATCTCACCTAAACTCAAATTATGGTGAACTCTGCAAGAACTCAGCAAGGTTCCCCATACACAAGCATCAGGTTCAAATGGCATTTCCTTGATGATAGAATAAGCTTCTTCAAGTTTTCCAACGCGGCTGAGAAGTGTCACCATGCAAGCATAATGTTCCATTTTAGGTTCAATGCCGTGTTCTTCAGACATACTATTATAATAACGCCACCCTTCTTCAGTTAAGCCATTTTGGGCGCATGCAGATAACAAACATGTAAATGTAATCAAGTCAGGTTTCTGGCCACTTAGCTGCATCATATGAAACATCTCAATTGTTTCTTTTGCCTTTCCATGCATTGCATATCCACGCATAACTGCATTCCAAGAAACCAAATTTGGGGCTGACATTTTATCAAAACAATGCCGAGATAACTTGATTCTTCCACACTTGGCATACATATCTATTAATGCACTACCTACATATACATCATCAAAAATTCCCTTTCTAAGAGAAAAACAATGGATTTCCTTTCCATGAGTTAATGCTGAAATATTTCCACAAGCAGGAATCAAGCTCGGAATTGTTACAGCATTAGGCTCCACCCCATCAGCCTGCATATCTCTGAAAAGCTCCAAAGCTTCTAAATCCTTCCCATTCTGGGAACAGCTGGCTATTATTGACGTCCATGTCACAACATTCAATTCCATTTCTTGCTCCTTGAACTTCTTGAACACGTCCAACGCGGTGTCAACCATACCATTCCGCGACAAACCAGTAAGAAAAGCATTTAAAGAACCAATATTCATTTCATCCACTTCATCAAACACCCTAGACATCTCCAACGTACAGCCACATTTCCCATACATGTCAATAAGTGCACTGACCACAAACTTGTCTGATTCCAAACCCTGCTTGATTACATACCCATGAACCTGACCACCCATCACAAAATCATCCAAGTGCCCCACAGCAGGAAGAACACAAGAAACAGCAGATCCATCAGGCAAAAACCCTTCAGACAACATCACTTGAAACATCATCAGTGCCTTAAGATACGACCCGGTATTATTAAACCCCGTGATCATCCCATTCCAAGACACCAAATTGGGTTCCACACCCTCATTCCTCATCTCAAAAAAGAGCTCTTTGGCCCTGTCAACAAGCCCATTTCGCGAGTAACAAGCAATCATAGCACTCCAAACAACCACATCCCTCTCAGGCATGCTATCAAACAGTTTATGGGCATCAACCATTTGGTCACATTTCAAGTACATATGCACCAAGGAAGACATGACAACGGAATCAGACGCAAAGCCAGAAACAGAAACAAATCCATGGACCTGCTTCCCTTGTTTTAGAGCGTGTAACCCAGCACAAGCTTTGATGGCAGTGGGGAGAAGGTACCCATCAGGGACAAGACCACGAGAGCCCATTTGAGAGAAAGCACCGAGAACATGGTTGAAGTGAAAGGACCTTGCGAAAGCGTGGATGAGGGAAGAGAAAGAGAACAATGTGGGGTGAGGGAGAGAAGAAAGTAAGAGGTTGAGTTCGGAGGAGTGGAGGTTGTTGTCGGCATAGAGAGAGAGGAGCTTTTTGGCGAGATGGGTATCGGAAAAGAGACCGAGTTTGAGGATATTAGCATGGGCTTGTCGCCCCTGCAACAGAGAGGCAGTGGTTGAGTTGAGACATTGGGAGATGGCGTTGAACATAGCAGGAAAAAAATGTGTTTTTTTAAGTCTTTGAATGCTGAGTGATTTGTCACTGTTAATGTTTAGTTAGTGTTGCAATGTGCGAGTATACGATAGGTTGGAAATTGAAACGCGACAGAAAATTTCGAGGGAAGAGTCATGAGAAGGTAAGGGTGCTATCTATTGAGCTTTGATGCGCTAAAGAGAGGGAAGAAGGGGTTCTGGGAACATGATTTGTTTGATTACAACTTCCCCTCTCTCCTGAATTTTAAGGTATTTAGATCAACATCTCCGTTATACAGCGTGTTTTTGACCCGAGGAGTTAGGACTATTTAATTAATTGGATCATAATAATGTTATAACGATAAAAATTAAAATATAATAAAATATTTATATAAAAACTAAAATACATTTTTTAACATAAAAATTAATTTATAAATGAGTGATAGTGAATATATATCTTGACATAAGAATGAAAGACTCTTGCAGAAAAAATTAATCCTATAATCTAAATATTAGATCTTTTCATTAAGATATAATAATATTAGGTATGACCGAATTAATTTTATTTATAAATAAAATATATTGATATTATATATAAATAAACTTTATTTACTGCGTACGCAAACACTCCAAGTTAAATAAAGTTTAGTTGATGTATTGGACAGCTAAATTATAAAATTAAAATTTTAACTTTGTATAAGATAGACTTCAACCCTGAACTTATCTTTTATGCCATTTAGCTTTACCATTAAGCAGTGAACCAAGGGACTAAAATCAAATTTATTTAAAATATATATAGTCTCGGTTTTATTTTATTTTTTTCGGGTTTGCATTTTGCAATATGCAAAATTTCATGCTGCAATTTATTATTTGAGCAAACGGTTAGATCAAATATTTATTTTTGATTTCCAGAATTAGAATAATCGGAAATAATGTTATCATTGAAATTAAATGGATTTGGAAAGTTTTGGTTAAAACGGTGATAGCATTTTCAAGCTGTGTAACCAATTTCACCACACAATTTGACAGTGGTGTAGTTCCAGAATTCATGTATATGTAACTAAAGAGTTGTATTCCTCTCCTAATCCATCAATAGTGGCTTCAATATGTTCTTCTCTGAAGATGGAATAACCAGCCGGTTCAAGTGAATCAATGATTTTCTGAATTTTCTGAAATTTGATGTGACATGACTTATCTCCGTTCCTTATTATGGATTGAAATCACTATCAACAAACTTTAGTATTAACTGAAAAAAGGTCCAGTTTGCACATACAATACCTTAGATAAAGAGGGTGCCTTCAGTTTGCAGATACTTCAATCCAATACATGCTCATCTTCCAAGTGTTACAGGCCAACTTTCTTGAAAATGTCTTCTAAATGCTAATGAATCTCCATAAATACCTCAGGACATCTGCTAAAAGTTGTTCCCGAACGTTATTTCCATTTGTTTACAACAGCATACAAATTCGTAATATGCAATGCAATGTGATGCGGCAGAAGCATATAATTGCATATTATTAAAATATTAGGCATGAAAAGTATTATGAAACTTCGCTTAACTCATTCTTAAAAGCTGGCTCACATAAGGAAGATTATCTAAGCTCTTGTAAGGAGTATTTTACCTCTCCGTTCCTATGAAGTGAGACATCTTAACAATCTCCTTTACACTCGGGACTCAGGACTTAGACTTCTAGTGCATGAAGTTTGCAGGATTAAATATTTGTAAGTGATCCAATGGAACTAAACATATGTAGGCAGCCTAACATTTAAAATAGATAGAATATGATACTATATTAAGAAAATTGGGCTCGATTCAATCTCAAAAACTAACTCATAGGAAAAGGACTATCTAAGTCCCATTATTTTGGCTTTATTCTTAGTTAAAGTGAGACATCTTAATACCATGCAAAGAAAAAAGGTGGTGTGAGACTAATAAATTGCATAGCATACCGAATAAGCAGTTACAGGAACAGTTATCACTAAAGTCTGGCTCATGATTGGCATGGGTGTGGTGAGATGTTTGACAATGTGGTGACTCCAACTCTTCTTTTGACTTAAGAAGTACGTAGACTCCGCACTCTCTGGTTTGGATGTTCAACTCATGACTTTCCCCCATATCACTTGTCACAAAGAACTTAAACCAAACCTGTCGTTCACCAGTTCGGTAAATTTTCATAATTCTCTTAAAATGGACTGTATCACACCACATATAAACATGATCACAGCTCAACCCCGTCACATTTACAGCTCTACGGCGCCATTCAGTTGCGCATGCCAACTTTCTACCATCCCCCAAGTAGCATTGACACCAGATATTAATACGGGTCTTCGTTCCTTGGAGTTGGGAGGGAGAAAGAACTGCACCAAAAATTAAGCCTGCAAAGTCTGAAATTGAAGAAGGAAGATTAATACTGAAGGAGGACCGTGTTGTTCTATATGTGAACTCCTCTGGAACTCTTCTTCCAGGGATACAGTAACTCAAAAAGCAATTTTCAGACAGATATGAAATAGAGCGTCTCCAACTCTTTCGTGATCTATTTACAGGTCTACTTTGAAACACAGCATTGTAGGTAGCTATATAGGCACCCTCTGTGATGCAGTGGAGCCTAGGTTCATCAAGACCCATGCAATTCTGGAAACAAATCGATTTTCGCCTCCCTTTCATCTCAAAAGTTAAAGTCTCCAAAGTGGGTATTTTCACCAATGACACGCAGTTCTGCGCTTCCAGAATTGTGACACTGGGGGGAAGCTCTGGTATACTGACAAGCTTTCTGCAATTTTCTAAGGACAGAGTTTCAAGATTTTTTAGATGCTTGATGCTCTCGGGCAATGTCTTCACACTGCTACCATCAAGTCTTAGCTCATGCAAGTTTGTTAAGGTGCTGATGTTGTGAGGGAGCTCATACAAGTTACAACAATCCTTCAAGTGTAGCACTTTAAGATATGCTAAGCCATCAAATATCACATGTAGATTCTCTTTCTCAATTGCTATTCTGCACTTACAAATCTTTAGCTCCCTCAGATCTTTCAGGAAACATAACTCACTTGGAAGATAACCGCATCTCAAACCATGCACATCCAGTGTTCTAAGATTTCTTAGACGCTCAATTGATGAATCCAATGTTTCGATTCCTGTGTTGCATAAATCCAACCATTTGATTAAATCCGAGGAAACTGAAAATTCCCTAAGACTAGTGCAACCGTCCACACAGATACACTCCAGAGATCTTAAATGCTTTCCACTTTTAAGACTCTTCAGATTTTTGCATTCATCTAGTACCAAAATTTTTAGTTTGTCCAGAGATAACACAGATGGATGAACAGCCACCAAACTTTCACAACCATACAGATCCACCCGTTCAAGTTTTGAGGCCTTTGACAAATCTGGCAGGTTCTTCAATTGCTTGCATTTACTCAGGTTAATTCTCACTAGATTCACAACATCCTGCAACGATTCAAAAGACCTAATTAATCACTATTACAACAACAATCTAGCCTTATCACATTAGATGAGGTCAACTACTAAAAAATCAAATTTTCAAAAATTTGATTAATCAAAAGGTCCTTTTTTAATAACTTCATCTAAGTTTCTTGAGTCTCTCTCAACCCCTTTTTATAAGTAGTATAATCTAAATTTGATTAAAAGTAGTATAATCCATTCTCTTCACCGGTGCCTCCAAAACGGACTAATTACTTAGTATTTAATCTAAATTCTCAAATTTCAACTTAACATAAAGCATGACACATTTTGAATATATTACCTGCACCCCCTCCCAAAGTTCTGTAAGATTGCTATGCCTCATGTGAATCTCAACAAGCCTCTTTGCACTAAAAGATGCTGGAAGAGACTTCAAAGGGTATCCATGCCACTCAAGGTACCTCAATTTATCAGACAATTTACTAAGAACACCAGACCAGTGCACCTTGCCTGATCGATTTCCAAAAGGGACGTACAATTTAAGAATTCTTAAATTAGTCATCATGCTCAATGCGTCAGCATTCACCTGTAAATCCTCAATTTCAGACAAATCTAATGTTATACCTTCAACTGCATTACTCCCCTAAAAAAACAAGTTAACAGTATTAAATTCGCTATGAATATTTCAATAAAAAAACATGTCTAGTTTGATTTCCCAAAAACATAAACTGACTGTATCTTTTTCATACCTTATTATTTCCAAGGACGTCAGGAACTTCTTCAATATCTTTTAATCGACTACGTTTTCTTGGATTTTCAATGCCTTCACGAACTATATTCAAACCCATTTCTTGTATCAAGTCATGCATTTGTATCGTTCCAGAAAGTGAAATAGTTATAAGAGCTTTATCTTCAAGGACATTTACTCCACTGGTAGCACCAAAACCACAGGCATCTAATATTCTTATGATGTCACCCTTATTTTCGCCTTTGAAAAAGAATGCAATGTCTAGAAATATTTTCTTCTCTAGACTGTCTAATCCGTCATAACTCACTTGTAACACACTTTGAATTCTGTCATTGGTGCAGTTCATGAGTTTGCTCAATTCACTGTCCCAAAATTGTGTACTTCTGGAATAAAGATTTGAACCCAAAATTTTCAAAGCTAATGGAACTCCACCAGCATAGGCCACTGCTCTTCTTGAGAGATCCTCATATCCCTTTTGGGGATGTCTTTCCTTGAAGGCATGTAAACTAAAAAGCTCTAGAGATTTGGCCAAGTTCAACATTTTGACATCATATATCTCATCAACACTTGCACTAATTAGTAAATGCCTATCTCTGGTTGTTATAATGATTTTACTATTTGGACCCACATAGTTACATTCTCTATACAACACATCTAATTGATCTAAACTATTCACATCATCAAGTACAATCAAAACCTTTTTATCATTCAGTCTCCTTGTATAGAATGTGGATTCTGCAACATCAGAACCCTCATATTCTTTCTTAAGTAGCTTAGAAAGAAGCTTACCACGTAAAGACATTAGGCCCAACCTTTTTGATTCTTCTCTTACATTTGCCAGGAAACACACACTGTCATATTGTGGAAAGAGTTGACAAAACAAGGCTTTGGCAATTGTTGTCTTTCCAATCCCACCCATGCCCCAAATTCTAATTACTTTAACATTTTGTAGCAACCGATTCTTTTGGTTTCTTGAAAGCAAAAGTTTAACTTCTTCGCAAATTTTGTCAATTCCGACAAGGCCTTCCACTTTTAGTTCAATTGGGGATCTCTGGTTCAGCTTCTCCAATACATCTTCCACAATTTTATCAATTATTTGAGCTTCGTTCCTATAAGAACAACGTAAAGGGAAAGATTAAATTCATCTAGAATTAAAAAAATTAAAGAAAATAAATTAAACCACCCGTTTACAGTGTTTGGTTTTTATATTATTATTTAACAATTTGAATTATTTTAATCATATGACCATAAATAGTTAGCTAAGTAATATACGCTCGTCTGAGACATCTAGAGAGTATAATGATTTTGATAAGTACATTATTATGTGTAGAAAGTCATCGTTACATTTTATTAGTTTTCGTTTTCTGTTAATGACTTAATAAAGAGTAGCATAATTTAATGGTCAAAAGTTTAATAAGATAATTTTTTTTATGATTTAGAGATTCTCATTTCTCTCGTGAATGTACAGGGATTCATTCAACAGTCAGACATTTTTATTCCCCCCAAAATGACAAAAAACAGTTCCTTAGCCTTTCAGAAAGAGTACATATTGGCAAGAAAATTGAAAGGAAAAAAGAAAAACATGAAATGTAATAATAACTGCTTACTTGTAGAGACGAGTGCGAGAGTCCCATCCACATATATTGGAAGCTTCTATGAGAGCATCTTTCCACTCTTTGATGGATTCATTATCTCTGTCACCAAAAAATTTCTCGTGTTTTGCCATTGCTTCCTTGAAAATTCCAGTGAACTTCCTTATGTGCGATGGATCCACTTCATAAAACACCGGAATAACTATAAGCCCCTCACTTTTTCTGCATTCCAGTATTTTGACCAGTTCTTTCAAGCACCACTTTGAGAAAGCATAGTTCTGGGAGAAAATGACGATGGCAACATGTGAATCCTGAATTGCTTGGGACAGTGATGCCCAAACCTGGTCTCCTTTTCCAAGTTTGTCTTCATCCGTGTATGTTTTGATGCGGTCTCGATCGAGAGCATTGCGAAGATGGCTAACGAAATTGGAACGCGTGTCCTCACCTCTGAAGCTGATAAAAACATCGTACTTTTTCACAGAGAAAGCCATTTCCTGTGTTCCTATTTCCACTGTGAATGGAGAAGACAACTTCTTTGTTCCCATTATTTATAGCGCATTCGACACTCTCCAACGTAATTTCATGAGAGAGAGACACACACACAGACGAGTCGAAATATTCATGGAAGCTACTCAGAAGAGTGTAAACTTTTTAATATTCATGTCAACTCTGTCGAAGTAGGTGCCGGCTAATATTGAGATAAAGTGAAATGCTAATAATATTACTTTTTAATATATTTTTATTGTTGATTAAAACTTATCAAAAATTATAAAAATATATAATTTTATCACTTTTTACTCGTAAAATAATATTTTTCTTTTGTATTTTTATAGTTTTTAATACATTTTAATTAGTAATTAATGTATTAAAAAAGTACTATTAAAATGTGTTGTTAGCATTTGTTGAGAAAACAAGATGAAGTGTTCTGTTACAAGAATAATTTTATCTAGTTTTTATTTATAGGAATTTCTTTTAACAAGTGATTCAAAAACTTTTAATTATTATTTAAAATTTATTAAAAACTATAAAATTGAAACGAGAATACAAGTTTACAACCTAAAATCTCAAATTTCAACTAAACCAAAAACTTGGCATACATTTGGGCATGCGAATCTCAAAAAGCATCCATTACAAGACAATTTGGCAAGGAGACCAAAATAGTGGACGTTACCTGATCTTTTACCTCAAGGGACATTCAATTTAAGAACTCTTTGAGAAGTCATCAGATTGAATGAATCAACATTCAAGCATAAATCCTCAACTTTATATAAATCTAATTTTATTCTCTAAAGTGCATCACTCCCTTTACAAAACAACAAAAACAAAATGGATTGTCAACATATCAATCAAAAAGCATACGTAGTGGTTAATAAGTTAATGACAAGCCGAAGGGTATCCACATCCATTCGACTTTGTTTCAGAACGAACACCTTTCGCTCACATCAAAATAATTCAAGTGATAAGAGAATTAACTCAGAGCTGATTTCTTAAAGCTCGTTAGTCCATTAACATGTCTATAAAAAGAAACTGAGAGTAACAGACAAAAAAAAAATTGACTATAGTATTAACTATCATATATTAAACATTAACTTCATCATCAAAATATCTTTGCAGGTAACTTTTTTCTATGGACAAGAACAATTAAGAACATCATAGAAAGTCATCATAGAAACGCATGGCTAAAAATCAATGATGACCACAGTGATCACCAGCTTTAAGTTCAATACGTGTCAACTCAAAGTGACTGGTTTGACACCACAACGCAATGAATTAGTAAAATGGAGTGTTGTCAAATTATTCAAATTCGTTTAATTCAAATAATCTACATTACGCAGTTTTACACGATCTGTTAATTATTAACGTCTCACATTCAATATGTTCAGTTTTAACTTGACAGGTTAAATTATATGTTATACCCTAAAAAGTATTGCGCAATTAAAGATGTAATTATTAAAATTTATATAATATTCTTCTTTCATAAAATTTTAAACTTGCCGTTCCTTCTTTCATTTGCTTTAAATTTTTATTAATACTTATTGTCTAACTTTTGATATTAATTTTGTTAACGTATTAAGTTGATATTTAACATGTTATATAAATATTTCTATTATATATTGTTAACCTTTATTAATGCTACAAATTAGTAGAATAGATTTTTTTTCAATAATTCGAAGATAAATGGAATATTTATATAGTTAAACAAAAATGTAAAAAAATATTGATAAACTGTAATTTTATCGCTTTATTTGTGGAATGTTAGTCTATTTTATCATTAAAAATATTATATTATTTTTTAAACTAGCTTAATTTCTTTTAGTTTTATCATAGAAAATAATAATAATAATACAACTTAGTTAAATAAACTATTTTTTAAAAAAATATTATAAAAAAAGCAGATTATAGGTAAAATAGTGACAATGTACTCATTGTCAAGGATATTTTCAGTCTCAAACACTTGACAGTATCTTCTGTATAAAGGATGTGTTCGGCTCAACTAAGCAATGATAATTCAAAGTACTGTTTATTTAAGCACTTATTTTATAATTTTTTTAAAAATAATAACTACGTTTAAAATTTAACAATGAAATTTATTGGAATAATCTAAAAGCATCTTATTTTGATGTATTATACAAAAACGGTTATTAAAATAAATGAAAATTTTTATAAAAAATCATTAATTATTTTTTCTAGATTATTTATAAGTTTTTTTAAAGCGACCCATCTCAAATTGCCAACCATAATAGTTTGTTTATATTATCTTATTTTATTTAAATAACTTATAATCAACCATTCTTAGTAAAATTTAACTTTTTTCAAAGATAATAATGTAAATATATTTAAGACATTTGCTTTATTAAAAATAATTATATGTATGTATAATGTATCCTATCATAAAGGGGAATACAAAATTCTAGATGACAACATATGCTTGACACTCGAAATCATCACTTGAAAATGCATTGAATAATGTTGAGTTAGATTAGAACAGGATCGGTTTTATTTTACCAGTATTTTATTAGTTCAGTTTGATTTTATTCTAATTTTGGATTAAGTGGATTGCTTAGTGACCTACTAACTTTTCTTTTCTTTTTTTTCTTTTTTAATCTAATCATTAAATATATACAAACTGTTAAAGATTTTTTTATTATTATTTTGAGACTCGCTCTGTTTAAGTGACAGAAGGACCTCAAATATGTTATCTACTCGTTTTTAATCTTCTTTTAAATATACCCTAAATAAATATGTAAGATAATATTTAAAATTTAGTTATAATAAATATATTTTAATAAATCTTAAATATTTAAATTAACGTTGAAAACTGAAATAAACAAAATTAAATCTAAGATACCAATTTACCATAATAGAATTGGATGAGGAGTGAGTGTGAAAGCTAAAATCAACGATAGAGTGACAGGCAAAGACTTCACTCTACTCAAGATGTGAGTGCCTACTTAACTTGTCACTATGTGGGCCCTTTCCTTTTCTACGTGTTGTGAGATCCTCAACTTCATATACCTCATGCACTGTACCCTTCACACAAATTCAGTGATATTCTTAACTTAGCATTTAATAAATGCCTCATTCAAATGACACGTAATGGATGATTAATTTGATAAACTTTTATAAAATAAGATAAATTAAACATATCTATTTCACTTCAATCGTGTATTTAACGCTAACTTGGGGGGTCTTTGAATTTAAGGATGATGAAAAATAATAGTCATTGATCATATAATACATGTTACCAAAAGAAATATTAAAGTGGCAAACATTGTTGTTGCCCACAAAGTTAAAATGGTACAATTAAAGGGAAAAATCATTTTCTTACCATGATTGCATGAAATTTCTCCTTCTGTGAACCTAAATTGCAGAGTGAAAGTGATTCTTCTCACTTGTTTTTGTTTTCCTAGTATAAGTGGTGATCCTCTTTCATCATAGTTCAGTGTTTCACACTTTTTGGATCATTGGTTCAGAAGAAAAAGCATCCAAAATGGTGATCACATCCACTGTCATAAACCCAGATGAACAAGAAGAAAACATATCCTCTACTTTTGCTTCCAGATATGTGCGTGAACCTGTTCCCAAGTATGCATACCCTTTTTCTTCGAACTTCATACTTAGTTGTTGGTGGTGAAAATTCTTTGAAGAAATCATATAAGACCAAACAAAACAAAAGAAACATAAATTTTATTTTATTTTCTCTGTTGTGATGGGTTTATGGTGGAAATGTGGAATTCAGGTTCAAGATGCCGGAGAAATCCATTCCAAAAGATGCAGCTTTTCAGATAATAAACGATGAGTTAATGCTGGACGGTACACCAAGGCTCAACTTGGCCTCATTTGTTACCACTTGGATGGAGCCTGAGTGTGACAAGCTCATAATGGCTTCACTTAACAAGAACTATGTTGACATGGATGAGTACCCTGTCACCACTGAGCTCCAGGTCTGTGAATTCTCTCAGTAATTGCATGTCTTTAAATGATCATAACATGCCTTTGGAGCTCTGATTAATAAATAAACTAATAAATAAAATCGTTTGAAGTCTGTTTGATTTTTTTGAAGTTTTTGCATATAAGAGTGAAAGTTTTTTTATTATTTATTTATTTTATTAAGTTGGATCTTAGTTTGTTGTATGAAAAATATTTATTTTTTTCCTTCCTTCCCCTTTATAACTATTATTCTCTCCTCAAGTGGTCTTTTAGATAAAAGGGAAATTTTTGAAGGGGTAGATTTGTGTTGAGCATACTGATGATTTTTATGACATTTTTCACCTCAAAATATGATTTGTCTGGTGGTAACTTCTTAGATCTTTAAAGTGTTTTGTGGCCAGATGAAAATTTAAAGGAGATTACTTTATATATATATATATATATATATATATTTAAAATCATTGCATACCGTGTTCTGTATCTGAAGTTCACTAGTAAATTTGAAGACACTGATGTTATACATGGATCAATTTATGAGTATTTTTAGATACCGTTCGAAATTGTTAGACTGATAGCATGTTTGGATTCAATGACTTCAACGCTACTACTTGTAGCTTTTATGTTGGATTCATGTTTACAGGTCTACAAACATGAATTCAAACACACACTAATCAGTTTCATTTGTTCAATTCTGCAGAATCGGTGTGTTAATATAATAGCACATTTATACCATGCTCCTATTGGCGAAGATGAGGCAGCAGTAGGTGTGGGAACTGTGGGATCATCAGAGGCAATAATGTTAGCAGGTCTTGCTTTTAAAAGGAAATGGCAGACAAAGAGAAAAGCAGAAGGCAAACCATATGATAAGCCCAACATAGTCACTGGGGCTAATGTGCAGGTGGGTGTAAATTTGTGTTTGATGTTATGAATTATTAAACAACTTTTAATTTGTGTTTCATGATCATATTATGGGAAATAGGTACCTGTAATCCTCTATGTTGCATGCATATGAGCATGGTACTTGTATCCGGTATGGATACCGGTATTGAATATTTTTCAAAAATTAAGGTACAAGTATGTTATTATATTTTTAAATGATGCAAAATAGTTGTGTATTGTTGTGAAAACATCTACAATATAAGAACTTAGCAAATTAGTATCGATCTCAAATCTCACAAGTAAGGATGATAAGGTTGATTGAATAGAGTAATAAACATGAAAAAATTTAGAAAATGTAAAATAATCTCTAAACTTTAGCTGAAAAGTTGCCAATTTTTGGAAATAAAAAGTCTAACTATTATTTAAGACACAGCTAGCTATACCTCAATTAGATCTGTCTCATTAAAGTCATACTCTTGTACGGTATCCAGTACGTAACAAAGGCATGTTCATTTGACGAACAAAGTATCCATGCTTCAGAGGTAGTCCTCTGTATTGTTTTGAAATATCATACAGAACCAATGTGCTGTGCTGTACATGATTGGTGTGCTAGATCTTGGGGCCTTTAGACTTATGTTTGATGTTCTTTAAAATTTTCTCCACAGGTTTGTTGGGAAAAATTTGCAAGGTACTTTGAGGTGGAGCTCAAGGAAGTGAAACTCACTGAGGGATACTACGTGATGGACCCTGTGAAAGCAGTTGAAATGGTAGATGAGAACACTATTTGTGTTGCAGCCATTTTGGGATCAACTATGACTGGTGAGTTTGAGGATGTGAAGCTTCTCAATGAGCTTCTTACCAAGAAGAACAATGAGACTGGGTGTGATACACCAATTCATGTAGATGCTGCCAGTGGAGGATTTATTGCTCCATTTCTCTACCCTGATCTTGTGTGGGATTTTCGCTTGCCGCTAGTGAAGAGTATCAATGTAAGTGGTCATAAGTATGGTCTTGTCTACCCTGGTGTGGGTTGGGTTGTCTGGAGGAGTAAGGATGACTTGCCTGAGGAACTTGTTTTTCACATAAATTATCTTGGATCTGATCAGCCCACCTTCACATTGAATTTCTCCAAAGGTAATATATGATCTTATTTTTTATTTAGTTTTGCCCCATTTTCGAGGGACTGTGTCCTATAGCAATGAAAAATCTATCATGGTTATAGTACAGACTTTGAATGCATCATGCTGTGTAGGCCTATGGAAATGCCTTAGGTTATATAGTTAAGGTAATAAACGTGTTTATGTAAATGAATTTGTGGATAATAACCGCATGGAATTTGTGTGGCATGTCATAACGATTGAGAGAATTGATTCAATTCTTAAATGTGTGGGCTAGATACATGTAGTGTAATTATTTGGTGTAATAATCATTAGGTGATCAATTAATGTGATTTCACTGCTTTGGCTTCTGTTGCTATCATCTGAATTTTTTGCATAATGTTATTTTCTTTTGTTTGTCCTTCTGTTTCTTTGCATTTTTTTACAGGATCTAATCAAATTATTGCTCAGTATTACCAATTTATACGACTTGGTTTCGAGGTAATCATGTCATAATCTTGATGTTGAATCTTTACAGGAAGCATGATGAGTGTGTCCTCCGTTTATTTTAGGTGAATATAGATAGATAGAATTAATTCCCAAAGAAAAAATAGAGATTATTCATACATGTTTCCTTTTCCATTTCACATAATAACTACAAGAACCTTACCCCACTAAATGAAGTCATCTGCATCATCATCTATTTACGTACCAAATTCTCTTGCCTTAAATCAGAACTTGAATATAAAATTAAACTACAAATTCAAAAGTAAAATGGAGATGCAGGGTATCGAACCCTGTACCTCTCGCATGCAAAGCGAGCGCTCTACCATTTGAGCTACATCCCCATTGTGGCTGGGTATGATAAACTACAAGACAAGATAAAAGACGAATTCTGATATGAGGCTTCCTGCAAACTTGATTAACTTGTTTACAAACAAATAACTTGATCTACAAATAAACTATGTAGTTATTGCCTGATACATTAGTTAGTTAGAAAATGCCTTGATTAATTTGTTATCAATAACATGAGCTTCATGACAAGATTGACTTTCAGCAAAAGTTACAGCTACATAACCTGAATGAAAGCCGTAGTTTAAAAGGCCAGCACTCTAGGGTAAACCAACATCAATATTCTTACATTAATATACATACACATATACCAATTTTCTTGTTTGTTTCTTCGTTGTCTCAAATCCTAATGAAGATGTCCTAGAAGAGTACACTTGACTAGTCTCAGAATTCATCTAACAGTTACCTCAATTTAATTGTTAAACCAAAATTAGAAATAATAACTGCATCATGCATGATATTAGCCATGTTCTTGGCAGAATTGCGGTGTCCTAAGCGCACTGGTTAAGGAATTGAAAGTGAAAAACTTTTCTTGGAAAACATGTTTGACTGCAATGGAAATCATGGGAGGAAATTTACTTATGACATTTTCTCATAAAAAATTTTCACTTTTGATTCATTAACCAGTGCCCTTAGCATTTGCCTTGTGCAAATATTACAAATGGTCATATACTTCATGTTAAATTGGTATTTTCCTGCCATTCTGTTTTTCTTACGTACATTGTTATTCTTCTTGCTCTTGTAAACATAAGGGTTATAAAAACGTCATGCAAAATTGCTCGGAGAATGCAAGAGTTCTGAAGGAAGGAATTGAGAAAACTGGGCGGTTTAACATTATCTCCAAGGATATAGGAGTGCCACTTGTAGCCTTCTCTTTGAAAGACAGTAGCCAACACACCGTGTTTGAGATATCAGACCATCTCAGAAAATTTGGATGGATAGTTCCGGCCTATACAATGCCACCGGATGCGCAACACGTCGCGGTCCTCCGGGTGGTGATCAGGGAGGATTTCAGCCGTGGCTTGGCTGAGAGGCTTGTTTCTGACATAGAGAAAGTTGTGAATCTTTTGGACACACTTCCAAGCACCCTCTCAACCAAAGCTGCACATGTCACAGCTACCACCAGTGAGACAAATGAGAAGGTTAAAAAGAGTGCATTAGAGACTCAGAAAGAGATTGCTATGTACTGGAAGAGACTTGTGGATGGCAAGAGAGTTGGAGCATGCTAGGCTTGCCAAAATCTTTGCCTTTTGCCAACCTTGGTGTGAGTTTATATTGAGTTCTTATCTATGTCTATGTGCATTGGCCTATTGTATGTAAGGATTGTCACATGGTGTTATCTTTTTTTCCTGAATATGTGCGTGTAAGAGCTATATAGCAACAAGCAATATCAATTAATGACATTCTAATAGTCATTGCTGTTGTTGCATAAGTCAGATCGAATGATTTTGAGAAAATTTTCAAAGTTTAGATGTATTTTTAATCTCTCTCTATATATGTGGGGTTCGTTGATGTACACCTGTGTGCGCTAATATATACCTATTTGTTTTTGAGTTAGTGTATTAACAAGTTACCCTGTTGGTGTATATAAAATAAATTAAGTTAATCACCAAAAAAATTCCTCAAAATTCAAAGAGCACAATACTTATACACTGTTCCAGTGGCTCAATCTTTAAACCATTCTCGTTAGTTTTGCACTCTTTATATGCAAAGGTAGATTTGATTTCGTCTTCCTAACAAAAAAACACTTAAAAACTGATTTTATCTACCCTGCATATCTAACCTTATTCTGACATGATATCTAATATGTGTGGCTAAAGATTAAAATGACACATGATGCTATCATTGTACCCCCGCCCTACTTCATGGAAAGTGACTTTATAAGGTTAAAATGACTCATGATATTTAGATTTTTTTTTATATTATTTATTAACATGATATAATTATATTAAATATATATCTACAATTTTAATTAAATTCACTTAATAAATCTTATTATTATTTATGATAAATCCTTATTTAATAAAAAAAATAATCCTTATTTAATAAAAAAAATACATTTTTTATCATAAAGTTATATCATATTATTTACCACCGTACAAAAAAATCTAAATGTGAGGTTCTCTCTCTGCCTCTGCTGTACCCTACCAATTATGCATCATCAAATAGCTGGTTTCAACATGTGCCTCACGTGCTCTAAACGTCCTTTAAGATAAAACAGAAAATCCTATCCTCTTCCTACCTCAGCCTAAACATTCTTCACTACTCTCATCTGTTCCCACTTTCTACTTCTCCAGCATCACTGGGCTTAAACCCACCAAAATGGTGCTTGCTTCCACATGTGAAGACCCAAGTGAGGAATTGCAATCCACTTTTGGTTCCAGATATGTGCTTGAACCACTTCCTAAGTAAGTACTAGCTTAGTGAGCCTTTGTAATGTTCATTTTCAACAATCTTAATTTTCTTTAAAACAAAAATTAGTAAATTTAAATTACATAATTTATGAAAAATGATTTTTAATTTTTATAATAAAAATGTATTTAATAAACACTTCATTAATTAATTATCCAAATATACTCATGTTAGAATTGGTTCTGCTAAAATCACTCTTAGAGATAATTTCGGTTTAGAACATTGGTCCAACATTTTTCCAAACACATATTAAAACTACAAAAGTGCTATGAAAGTCTCAAACCTGAGTTTAGATAATGCAAATGCAGCGCCAATTTTATGAAAGATATTTATGGTTTCCACAAGGAAAAAAAATGTCTTATTTTGTTCAAGAGGAGAGTTAAGACTTAAAAATATTCTTTATAACACTTTTCTTTAAAACACTCTTAGATATTAGTTAAAATTTATTGATCACTGTAAAAGTATAAGAAAAAAAACTTTAAATTAGAGAAATGAGAAAAAAGTTTGTGTTGTGATGGTGGAAATGTGAAGGTATAAGTTACCAGAGAAATCAATACCAAAGGATGCAGCATATCAAATAATAAATGGAGAGTTAATGTTGGATGGGACACCAAGACTCAACTTGGCTTCATTTGTGACGACATGGATGGAGCCTGAGTGTGATAAGCTCATTTTAGACTCTCTTAATAAGAACTTTGTTGATGTTGATGAATACCCTGTCACCACTGATCTACAGGTATATTATATTCTTCCTTTTTTCCATTTCTTGTTTCAAAGTTTTCTATCAAAATTAATGGATAAATTTAATTATCTCTTTTTTTTAGAGATTATTATATGTTTTTTATTAATTAATTATACCTTCCAAAAATAATAACCTTTAACAGATATGAAATCTATTTATTAAAGGATTTATTTTCTTATTTTAAAAAAATTCATCATTCTCATATTTTTACTTTTTAAAATGAGTTCTTCATGAAATAATTTATCATTAAATGATCCTTTCATTTTTTTTTTCAATTATTGAGAAAATTGTAATGTTTTGATGGACTAGGAAAAATGTATGATGTTTAAGGAAATCAAATGCCAAATGAAAAATATTTGATAAAGAAAAATATTTTGAGAGGATTATTTGGAAAAAAAATGAATAACTAAATTAAAACTAAAAACATTTTAATTATAATATACTGACTGTATAAATTTTTTTTATATTATGAATTCCCTATTTTTATTTTTTTAATGAATTTTGCATAAAATAAGTTTTTCTTACTAAAGGGTACTTCCATTTTTTAATTATTAAAAAAAACATGATATTAGATAATAGATATTAATTTGATGAATTTGTGCAGAATCGATGCGTGAATATTATAGCACACCTTTTCAATGCTCCTATTGGAGCAGAAGAAACTGCTGTGGGAGTGGGAACTGTGGGCTCATCAGAAGCAATAATGTTGGCTGGTTTAGCTTTCAAAAGGAAATGGCAGCAAAAGAGAAAATCACAGGGCAAACCTTATGACAAGCCCAACATTGTAACTGGGGCTAACGTTCAGGTCCATTTCATTTCTCTTTAATCTTCAATTTCTATAATAAAAATTTAGAAATAACATTTAAGCTTATTTAAATTTATAAAAATAATTAGTACTATTATATTATTTTAGTTTACTTTAACAAGTTAAATTTGTAACATAAACTCTCCTGTAACAAAAGTTTATTAAATAATTTTTTAATTAAACTATTTATCCATGCATGTCCTAAGTTGGGTCTGAACACGTAAGATAATGTTTTTTTGAGTATATTGTGCAGGTTTGTTGGGAAAAATTTGCAAACTACTTTGAGGTTGAACTGAAGGAGGTGAAGCTGACAGAAGAATGCTTTGTGATGGACCCAGTGAAAGCAGTAGAAATGGTGGATGAGAACACCATTTGTGTTGCAGCCATTTTGGGGTCAACTATGAATGGAGAGTTTGAGGATGTGAAGCTTCTGAATGAACTTCTTACAAAGAAGAACAAAGAAACAGGTTGGAATACCCCAATTCATGTTGATGCTGCCAGTGGAGGATTCATTGCTCCATTTATCTACCCTCATCTTGTGTGGGATTTTCGTTTGCCATTAGTGAAGAGTATCAATGTTAGTGGTCACAAGTATGGTCTTGTCTACCCTGGTGTTGGTTGGGTTGTTTGGAGGAACAAAGATGAGTTACCTGATGACCTTATCTTTCACATCAACTATCTTGGCTCTGATCAACCCACTTTCACCCTCAATTTCTCCAAAGGTAACATTACATATCTCAGCCATACATTTGATGATTCAGTAAATTTTTCTGTATATGTAGTAGTCTTGTTTTTGTCATTGTAAATAGCATGATTAGAACCACATTTTTTAAAATCATGTTAATATAAAAATTACAACTCAGCACGTGATTGATTGTGCATTTATATCATAAAAACTCGCTAAGTAAATATTTTTGCAAGTACTTGCATAACGGATAGATGTTAGTTTAATAGATATATGTGAATATCTACAGATTTTTATAATTTTTATTAAAATAATAAAATATAAAAGAAAAAAATATCATCAAAAGAGAAATTAAATCATTTTCATAACACTAAAAAGACAATTAAAACATAAGATTAGAGTTACTAACTTAGAGTTAAGTTGCTTTTTATTTAAATATAAAGGGTAATTTTATAATTTTAGATGTAAACGAGTACCTGCAGGCATGAATATCTCATTACCTAAACTTGCTTTGTTTTAATTAACAGGTACTAAAAAATTTGTTTATTATACCTATGGGTGTGAGTTTTATCACCATCCTTAATTGAACTTGTGTTACCCTTAATGTTACATAATGTAGCTTTAGCTAACTAGACATGCATTCATATAATTCTACCGTGTATTTAAGCTAAGAATATTAGAGTAATCGTAGATTTATAATAGATGAATTTAAATACACACAAAATGCTTGTTTGGTTTTACATTTGATTGGTCATGAATTCACATTTATTTCAACGCTACTAGTTGTAACTTCAGTGTTGAGTACACGTTTATAAGTTTTTAATTGTATTTTTAAACACATTCACAAAATCGTTTCAAATGCAAGTGATATAAATTTTAGTGTTGAATCTAGTTCAACAAATAATTTGAATTTAACAGGTCTAAATCACTTTTACAGGTTGCTAAACTTCCCCATGAATCGTTTCAATATTTCCTTCATCCTTTTCTTTTTTCATATTCGTTCGCCTTTTCTTAACATTTCCTGCTTCTTTTGGGCAGGCTCCAGTCAAATAATTTCTCAATATTACCAGTTCTTACGGCTTGGCTTCGAGGTAATCTTCTCTTCTCTCTTTTTCTTTCTAAATTAAACTCAAATAACTATTAATAATTTTTTGACAAATGTTGTGTTGTAAAAACTAATAATTCTAAGGATAATCTAAAAAAATGAATGTTTTGTTTTCTTGATTTGATCAATTTTGTTGACTTGGTGCTACTAAACAGTTCTAAGGCTAAAGTTAAAATCTGATAGAGGAATCTATCCCTTGCCAACCTAACAGCAATATATATGACGTCCAATTCTTAGAGGAATATTTTTTTTCATCCAATACTTCTCCAAAAGTTGGATTGAATAGCATGAGCTTCAGGACAACATTGGGGGGTTCAACAAAGTATAACACAATATCTATAGACAATCCAATGAACTCACTAGACTAGCATTATGATATACCAAGATTAATTAATAACTATATGACTTGATTATTAGATTCATAAATTGAAGCTAAAAATAAGAACTGTATGATACAAGATATAAGTAAAATTGAAGACAGAATTAGAGCTGCTCCATATTTACTTCCTATTGGAAACTTTGCCATCTTGTGCACTTCTATTTGTATTTTGAGAAACGCTAACAATACCTTTTTTTCAAACACACTCCTTATTATTAGGTAGAGTTTATTGGAAATCACAGAAATAGAGAATGTATTAAAAAGAGTGGGTTCACACCTCTTGTTTTTTTTTTGTATGTGTTTCATTTGGTTATCTTTATTGCACTTGTCAACAAAAGGGTTACAAGAACATCATGAGCAATTGCTGGGAGAATGCCAAAGTGCTGAAGGAAGGGATAGAGAAAACAGGATTATTCAATATCCACTCTAAGGATATAGGGGTGCCCCTTGTGGCATTCTCTTTGAAAGACAGCAGCAAACACACTGTATTTGAGATATCAGATTCATTGAGGAAATATGGATGGATTGTTCCAGCCTACACCATGCCACCTGATGCAGAACACTTTGCTGTTCTTAGAGTGGTTGTGAGGGAGGATTTCAGTCGCGGCCTCGCCGACAGACTTGTTTCTGACATTGTTGAAGTTGTGAAACACTTGGAGGCAGTTTCTAGTGCTGTCTCCACCAAAGCTACTCGTGTCAAAGTTGTCACTAATGAGAAAGGTGAGAAGCTCAAAAAGAGAGCATTGGAGATCAGTTCAGAGATTGTAGATGTAGAGTGGAAGAGGCTCAAGGTTGGTAAAAAGAAGACAACTGGAGTATGCTAAGGCCAGATTTTCAAATATTTGGTTATCACCAAAGTAACTTTAGTTATGTGCATTGAATTTGACATTATGGTCAATCTGTACTAGCAGAATTGTTATAATCATCGCTTATTCCTGCTATGCTAAGGCTAAAGTTTCAAATATTTGGTTATCACCAAAGTAACTCAGTTATGTGCATTGAATTTGACATTATGGTCAAAATGTACAAGCAGAATTGTTCTAATCATCCTTTATTCCTGCTCTAATATCCTGAGCACAATAATAATTGAGCTTAATTTTAATGTCTTTGTTTCATGTTAGCAACTAGTTGGTAGGAACCTGGGACGTGGTGAGTGTAGCAACTAGTGGTAGCTGTGTAGTATTGCTGATGTTACTTTTGAGTTATGAGAACCATTAGTATTGACTTTGTTTCCTTTGACCTGCAAAAAAATGTGTTTAGGACTCTCCTATGTATTATGTGTTATCTGTTGATTTTGGCTTATGATTTTTATTGTCAATTTTGGCTTTACAGTGAGTCCTTGCAAGGACTCCTCACATCCTAATAAGACATGTTTCGCAAAATTAGGTTTGCTTTGCACAGAAAAACTAACACTCTTTAAAATATTCATAATTTATATAGAAATAACTCAAGTGCGGTCCGGTGTGAGTAGAAAGAAGAAAACATCAATGCAACGCATGCAAAATATTAGATAAATATAATGTAATATAATATAATATTATAATATCGGTAAATTTTAAAACTATTTAATTTTTTTAAAATCTAATTTAAAACATACATTATAATATTAATTTTAAAATATATGAAACTAAGAAGTAATATTTCTTTGATTATTTTTTTATAATTATTTAATTTAGACTTTAATACAAATAGTAAAAAATATATAATTATAACTAACCAATTGGAATTAATACAAATCACATTTTATATATAATTATTAACAATATAAAAATTAGTGTAAATCATTCAAATTTAAATTTATTCTTCTTCTTTTAAAATAATTTCAATTAATATTTCATTCCATAAAAGAATCATATTTTGATAATCAATAATCGCTTCTAAATACAAAACTTGTTATAGTAAAATTATTTCGTACATAAATTTCTCAAAAAATTGTATGTGTATACATTTACATATTTATATAAAATGAAAATATACATGATCTAAAAAATCAAAATTATTCTCGTACTGAATATGATTTGCATGTGGTTTAAAAGAAACATTGCACAACAACACGGGTTTACATTGCACGCCGCTGTCGTTTTGAAGCAGCATCCTCCACCACAGTATGCTCTTCTTCTTCCCTCTGTTCCCAATCACTTCACAGAAAATCCACACATACCCAGATTTCAAAATCGCTTCTTTTTCATCAACTCCTTCTTTCTTTCTTCGTTTCTGAACCCTTCAATTCCAAAAAGCACAATAACGATGATGGGTATGTTTCAAAGGTACATAAATTCTCTGAAAACCCCTTCCTTTTCATCATACACCCATCATTTTCATCACATCTTAAGAAATAAAGCTCTGCCACAGATTGAAACTACACTTCAATCAACAAGGTTTTCAATTTCACCTTTTCATTACTCTGCTTATTGCCAAATCCCATTATCTGATGCAACTTGTGTGCACTTGATTCAATCTTCATTTCCCTTTAACTCTTTTATTACTTGTCATTTTTCTATGTGCCGTTATTATTGTTCAGAAAGTGTTTCTATGAACCAAGATTTTGATTGTGGTGTGAGTGGTGTTGTCGAGGGTAATGGTTTAGAGAGTGATGTTGATAAGGTTTATAACACGGTGATGGATAATTTAATTGGATTTAACAATATGGAGAAAGCTCTTGGCCAATTGTGTATCCCATTGTGTACTCCATTGGTCATTGGAGTGTTGCATAGGCTTAGATATGATGAAAAAATTGCATTTAGGTTCTTCACATGGGCTGGTCATCAAGAGAATTATTCACATGAGCCTTGTGTTTATAATGATATGATGGATATCCTATCTAGTACGAGGTATAAAGTAAAACAGTTTCGGATAGTTTGCGATGTGTTGGAATACATGAAGAGGAATAACAAGAGTACGGTTCCCGTTGAAGTTCTCTTGATGATTTTGAGAAAGTATACCGAGAAGTATCTTACTCATGTGCAGAAGTTTGCGAAGAAGAAGAGGATAAAAGTGAAAACACAACCAGAAATTAATGCATTTAACGTGCTACTGGATGTTCTGTGCAAGTGTTGCTTGGTTGAGGATGCTGAAGGTCTGTATAAGAAAATGAGAAAAACGGTCAAGCCTAATGCAGATACGTATAATATATTGGTTTTTGGGTGGTGTAGGGTTAGAAACCCAACTAGAGGGATGATGTTGCTCGAAGAAATGATTCAACTGGGCCATAGGCCGGACAATTTCACATACAACACTGCCATTGATACCTATTGCAAAGCCGGAATGATAACAGAGGCTGTAGAGCTTTTTGAGTTCATGAGAACGAAAGGTTCAACTATAACTTCTCCTACTGCCAAAACTTATGCAATAATAATTGTGGCTCTTGTCCAAAATGATAGAATGGAAGAGTGTTTTAGACTTATGGGGCATATGAGTAGCAGTGGTTGTCTTCCCGATGTCACAACATACAAGGATATAATTGAAGGAATGTGTTTGTGTGGAAAAATAGATGAAGCTTACAAGTTCTTGGAAGAGATGGGAAACAAAGGTTACCCACCAGATATTGTTACTTATAATTGTTTCCTCAAAGTCCTTTGCGATCATAAGAAGTCTGAGGATGCCCTTAAGTTATACGGAAGAATGATTGAATTGAGTTGTATTCCTAGTGTCCAGACTTATAATATGCTGATTTCAATGTTTTTTGATATGGATGATCCTGATGGGGCATTTGAGACTTGGCAGGAAATGGACAGCAGGGGTTGCAAACTGGACATCGACACGTACTGTGTGATGATTGAGGGGCTATTTAACTGCAATAGAATAGAAGATGCTTGTTTTCTTTTGGAAGAAGTGATAAACAAGGGAATAAAATTGCCATATAGAAAGTTCGACTCCTTTTTGATGCAACTTTCAGTGATTGGTGATCTCCAGGCCATTCATAGGCTCTCGGAACATATGAGGAAATTCTATAATCATGGTATGGCAAGGCGTTATGCACTAAGTCAGAAGCGTAGGAGCATGAGTTTGAGGGGAAAGTAATAGTTAAAAATTTCTGTCTGGTTTGTGCTGGATATCAGGAAATTTTGGAGGGGGCAAAGTTAGGATAAGTTGGACAAATATTTTCTGGATGCATGGCTGGTTATATTATTCACTATATCAGATATCGCCTTCGATCTTGCCTCCGAACCTTATATTGGACTACAACTTCATGATGACAATTAGTTGCATTGCATCTTTGAACACGTTCCATTGGTCATGCTGTCATCTTGGGAACACTGGAAGCTGTCGTGATATTTTGATTGTGCAATGCTGGTTAGTTGATGCAGCCTCCTAAAGGTGGGAAGATCCATGGATGGTTTTTGTATTCACATGTCAGGACAGAGTGGTTGTGCACTTTTGCTTGATGAGAAACATTTATATGATCAAGAATCTGTCTATCACTTTGGCATAAAAGTAATGCTACTAATGAGATTTTTATCTTGCATTTTGGGGGCCATAGTATTCTTTGACATTTTGTAGTATCTAATTACATCAGAGCAATAATGAATGGAGCTCCTCCACTTCAATAATGATTCACTTGTATCTTTTCCTTTCCGAATCTTTGGTCACTTTCTAATTTCCTTTTTGCATTTGCCCTTTTCTTTTGATGTATCTTCTAGCTAGGAGGCTTGTTTGCTTTGTTGAAGATGCAATGGTGGAAAGGTGGAGTTTCTTGAACGTGTCACTCCACTACTCCACTGACTTAATCCAAGATTATGGTGCTCTGTGATTGTTTTCCATGTTTTATACCATGCCACATCAATGTTAATATGTGTGGCTCACTAGGGATTGTTTTATTGGTTAGAACATAATTTCGACTATATATATAACCAATAAGTGATTATGAAGTTCAAAATGATTGTGAGGATTAATTTTATTTTTTTTTCACATATGAACCGAATTAAAAATGAGTGATTATAAAGATCAAATCTATAATATTTTTTTATTTTAATTTTTACATTAATTATTCATTACTTAAATTTTTTTTTTAGTTCTTTGGTATCCAAAAGTTACAATCTATTCTAACATCCAGTTGAGCTTAATGTTAATATTTAAGGGGATAAAGCTCCTGTAATGCCTATATCTTTTCTTTTCTTTTTTATTCATGAGACTCAAATCAAATATAGCTTTTGGAGAAAATTAAACTCTTTACCACTTGAAGTTAACGGTGGTGGTTTAATTAAATGTGTCTAATACTTTAATAAGAAGTAGCAATTCTTTTGCATTGCATTAGTATTTTAATTTATTTTCTTAATAATAGCTTTTAAACTTAATTTAAATTTACAAATAAAAAAAATGAAAGAGAATAATAGATATTTCTATTTTTATAGTGAATATTCTATCCCATTAGAAATAAGTGAAGCAAAGATATGAGAATTTCAAAATCGAAGAAAAATTATAAAAGTAAACTATTTAAATAAGGACACATTATTTTTTGCAATATTGTATGTCAAAATTTAATATTTATATTTAAACTAGGATTTGTTGAAATCATATGCAATGACTTATTTTAGTTTATTATCATTTTGACATGGTACATCAATATTTAATATTTAAAATTAAAATTAAATTGAAAGTAAATTAAAAATTAAGTAATAACATTTGAAAAAAACTATAAATGAAATTAAAATTAAATACTCAATGTACGCAAGTTACACGATTAAATATCCTTTCAAATAGTATAATATAATAGATAATCAATGTAGAAATTAAAAATGAAAATTTTTTCTTGAATTAACTTAAGCTCATAGTTCCAAAAGTATAAAGTAAAATGAGGTCATGGGCCTTAGATATAGTTAACAGTGGGCCTTTGAGCATACATTTATTTACTTCATTTTTCCCGCCGTTTCTTCCAAACACAGGATTTTCCCGCTCCAAACATAACCCTGTGCTGTTCAACGCACACTGAAACGCAACGCTAGAGAGAGAGAGAGAGAGAAAGAGATGAATGCATCGACGAGGAAAAAGGTTCAGAGAAAGTGCAAAATCAGAGGCTACAACCTCAAAGTTGATGCTCTCGACGAGATCCTATCCTTCGTCACTCGCTTCGAAGGCCCCGACGAAGACGAAGCCATCGATCTCCTCCTCGATCAGATCGAACACGAATCTCGTAATCTCTAAGCTATTTATTCTATTTCAATTGAATTTTCGATGCTGAACTGAAACACTGAACAAATTGCAGTGAAATCTACCATAATCGACAAGGAGCCAGTGCACCGCGTGGTGAGCCTGCTATTGGAAGCTGAGGCTGCGGTGGAGGAAACTTCGGATGCCTTTGCTGCCGCTTCGGCCATTCGCGTTGTCGACGCGTTCCTGATCCCCAAGTTTAAATACGATCCTATCAGAAAACTGTTCTATGAGTAAGGTTTTTTGTCTCCGCGAATTTTTCTTTCTTTGATTTGCAGCATTTGCTTTTTGATTTTGTGAATGTTATTGAATTTCAAACCGACTTGTTTTTGAACCCTCCCTCTGGCTGAAATGTATAATTGTGTTTGGTGTCATAGAAGCGTAGAACTCTAAGGATTGTTATGGGTAGAGCAATAAGTGAAATAAAAAATATTTAATAGGCTTTTTTGGAAATTGAAAATTTTAGGGAAAATAACTGAAAAGGAGCTAGTGTTAAAATATTTACCGTAAAAAAGGTTAAATTTTGTTTTTCGTCGTTCATATTTTTTGCTATGAGGAATATCTTTTGTAATTTTCTCAAATTTTACTTATGGTTTGAATTAGAACGTACCTAGATTTCGTGGTTGTTTTGGATTTATCGTGATGTTAGGATGTTCATGAACATGAAAGTTTTCTATGTAACTAGAAGCTGAGGAAATGAATGTCATGTTACGAAGGTCTGCTATGTATTCTGTGATTCTGCATCTGCATCCCTAAATTATAATTTGATTTTATGCTTTTACACAAGATACTCCAGTTAAGCAGTTAATTGGAAATTTTTGTCATGTTTTTATCCTAGGCATACAGGCAGCTTACCTATTCATGGAGAAGCATCAGCAAAAGCAGCTCTGTACAGGGATAGGTTTCTATTCTTGTCCCAGAGGCTCTCTCGTGACCAACATTTTTCGAAGCCAGCTTTTGAATCTGAATTTTCTCATTTTGGGAGCTGTGAGGTACTGCTATGATCCAGTTGGTTGTAAACTTTAATCAATTAGTCAGTTGGATATTGCCAATTGTTGAGAATTGTAAAATCAATTTGGTGTTTTTGCGGAGGATTAATTTGTAATTTTATGCTATGCTGTGTCAGATATCTCCTATTCAATCTCTGGTTGGACAAACAGGTAGAAGATGGGTAATGGGAGTAATATCTCAGCTGGAGGATGGCCATTTCTATTTGGAAGACCTTACCGCTTCAGTTGAGATCAATTTATCCAATGCTATATCCTTTAGACAATAATTATTTTATTTATTTATTTTGCAAGAGCTCTGCAATGTCATTAAATGTTCTAAGTAGTTTTTCTTTGGGATGAACAGTAATAGTGTTAAAGTTGGGCAAGTCCAACTTTACATGTCAGTATGATTACCCCTTTTACCACTATTTTTTGTCTGTAATTACCTATTTATTGTCTGGATATGGTTGCTTGTAACTTGTTTGCACAGTAAGCTGTCCTGTATGTAATGTTTTGGCTTCTTCCCAGTGGATTAGTTTTCTGCTTTGGCATCTATATGTCTTATTGAACATTTTTCAGTTCCAGATTCTATAACTGGTTTGATGCTGTATAACTTAACTATATTCAAAAGCTTCACAGATCCGAGAATGAATTATTCATTAGCAGTAAATTAAGTAATGTCAATATTTTTTAATTCCTGCTTATAATACTGTCTGCTTATTTGTTCTTGAGTGACTTGATGAGTAACCATGACATCATCAGCTGTGTGGGATTGCGTACATCCAAATTATGGGTATTTTTTTGTGCCTTATTTTATTAGTGTGATATCCAAGTGATTGAAGGACTTCAGTACAAATTGCTTAAAAAACATTTGTTCTATCTTCACAAGTTTTTTACTTAATTTTTATGCTAAAACTCACATAACAGCTCAAATATTTTATAAGCATGGATGTATCATCATCAGTTTCTTTGACTAGCAGTACAAGATAACTACAGGATTCTTTTCAGAGAACACCATAGTTGTGGCCGAAGGGGAGATGCTTGTGGAGGGTATTTTTCAGGTTCTTGTTCACATGCTCTTCTCAATATTTGCTTCACGTAATCTTTATTTTGTAAAACTAATATATCAGTTATTTGATTTATATGTGCTTTTATTCAGGAATTTATTCAACTTGAAGTTTACTAAATATATGGTTGCATCTTTTATGACTTCTATATTTTTTTCTTCTATGTGCCATTATTCAGATAATCAGTTTGTTCAGGATGAATATTACTTAAGATTTAGTCGCAGCTTTATTACTTATAAGTTTGGTTTTGCTTTACCACGTCTCGTGCTGATCCAACAATGAACATCATGCACATCCTTAAAAATAAACTTGAACTCATGCTGAAGCTGAATTAAACTAATAATTATGGAATGAAAATACCTCTTTTAGATGGAAGATATTGAGGTTAGCTGTCTTTATGCCTGATCTATGATGGTGGAGTGATGTTGCGTGCACAAGAACACAAGTGGTTGTGTGAGTTTAATAGGAAAATTTTTAAGTGGTCTTTCTTGAGTTCAAAAGGAAGCACTTGTGTAGGTATGGAGCAAGTTTTGTAAACATCTCTTGATGGTATATATGAGCTTACAAGGAGGGAGTTTAGTTTTCTCAGTGAATCTCTTAGAGAAGATGCAATGGTTTATAACATTATTGGCTATGGAATTAAAACTCTTCATACTTAGAAAAACAGAATTTCACGTATAAATGTCAGAAAAACATCAAACAGAAAATTTATTGTTCTTGTTCTTGATATTACATGAATGAATGATATGATACGATGAATTGGACAGTCAGTATGCTTTCTTTTGTATTGCTTCTGTTGGCTGCTGCTAGCATCAATTTTGCCTCCTATATGTTATTTTCCTTTTTTACCAATGTTGTCTTTACCTTTGAATGCACATCTCTTGTGAAGAAGAAATGTTTCAACAAACCGTTAGAACACAGTGTCATATATACTTGGCTATTGATGACTTGAAGGATGCTAATTGCTAAGGAAGCAGTAACTTAAACTTTCGTTCTCAAATGCTTCTTGCATTCTTAAACCTATGTAAAGAGTAGAGAATTGTTGCCAAATTGTCTTGATAAAATTTGCTGAAATTATTGGACTTGTTGGAGTTGATTTAATCATGACATCTTTGGCCCCTTTTTTCCTGACTTTTGGCATTTTTGCTTTGATATTTGCATAATTGATGCAACTTTTTTTTCTGCAGGTCTTAACATGTGGATTTCCTCCATTGGAGGAAAGAGATAAATCACTTAAACTACTTGCAGGGCATGACTTTTTTGGTGGTGGTACTTTTACCAAAGAGGAAACCGTATCCTTACTATGCCCTTGTATTCAGCAGGCACAAGATTATTGTTATTACAAAATCTAAAGTTTGTTTGGTATCATACTGCAATGAATTGCATTTTTCCTATTCCTTCGCAATAGATCAGACTGGCAGAGATGGAGAAAAGAGCAGTCAATGACATGTTTGTGATACTTTCTGATATTTGGCTTGACAATGAAGAGGTAATTTGCAATGTTGCTTTTTTCCTTTCTATTTTCCTTCCCTTCCTCCAGCACCTCGTTATTAAAATGAAGCTGGATATAATATTGATGCTGTTTTTCCGAAGAGAAGGCTTTGGGAAAGCTAGAGACTGTTCTGGATGGTTTTGAGAGTGTGGAAGTGGTTCCTTCCTTATTTGTTTTCATGGGGAACTTCTCTTCTAGGCCATGTAACCTCTCATTTCATTCTTATTCCAGCCTCAGGTGAATTCCACTTACGATTTTACATTTCATTCATTAACAGTCAACTAGAAGTCTGAAACTGGGAAAGCGTTGCCAGGACCAGAATCAAGTGTCAGAATAATTAGTTCTAACAAACAACATTGTAATTATTTATTGCTTAAAAAGGGATATTTTATTGCTGTTTGACGAAAAAAATATTAAAACCTCAATATGCAGGATGCAGTTTGGTAAGCTAGGGCAAATGATTGCTGCCCATCCACGGCTAAAAGAGCACAGTCGATTTCTGTTTATTCCAGGTCCTGATGATGCAGGTATTGGCATTGTTTGATAATTTCTCATGCTTCCCACTTTCTTCCTCGTGTATGACATACCACTTTCAGCAATTTTTTTCAGGTCCTTCAACAGTTCTTCCTAGGTGTGCTCTACCAAAATATTTAACCGAGGAACTCCAAAAGCACATTCCTGATGCCATATTTTCAAGCAACCCGTGCAGGTTAACATTACATTTAAATAGGATTGCATGGGACATCATCTACATTTTATGCTTTATAGTTGCTATGGAAGCTGATTGTTCCTGCAACATCATATCCGTATCTGTTTGGTTACAGGATCAAATTCTATACCCAAGAAATTGTATTTTTCCGCCAGGATATGCTGTATAGAATGCGTCGCTCTTGTTTGATGCCTCCTTCTAAGGAAGAGACTGATGATCATTTTCAGCATGTAATTTTCCCTCGTGTGTTTTCTACTTTGGTTTTTGAACCAAGCCTAGTAACGTGTGATTGATGCAGTTGACTTGATCCAATGGGATAAGACTATTATTGTTGATATGTTCTATACTCTATTACTTATAACTTTTGGTTTTTAGAATCTCAAAACTCATGCACTTTGGGTTTAAATTGCAGCTTGTTGCTACCATAACCCATCAGAGTCATCTCTGTCCACTTCCTCTAACTGTACAACCCATCATCTGGAATTATGACCATTGCCTATATCTTTATCCAACTCCACATACGGTACGACTCATATTTGACTTTTCTATCTTTCTTTTTATGGTAAAGATATTTGGATCATTTTAGGAATATAAAATGCCGCGTTGCACACTGACAAGTAATATTATATTCTACTTATGGGGAGAAATGTCCCAGATATAATTTAATCATTGTGAACAAATTCAAAATCTTTGTAGACAGAAAAATCCATTAGTTTCCAACCATGGGTCGAATGGAAATATGGAATCCTATACATAAATCAATTAATAGAAAAATAAAAAAAGCTTTTAATGTGTCAGTTAAGTTATGTAGAAATTCTTGAACCGAAGAGTTAAGAATCAAAAGTTCAATAGAAGGGTAGCCAGTTACATTGCCATCCAATGCTTGAATGGCTGAATCTCTAGTTCTCATTTTTTCCCCATCTTCATGGGAGTAAATAGATCGGGGGGTTTGTTAGAATGCAGTAGCTAAATTCAGTATATCTGAGTCACTACATTTTTTTTCTAAATTTAGGGAATAATATAACTCGAACTGTTGAACTTTAAGTTTTGAGAAAGGAAAAACTAAATTTACCCCCAAAACTCGGAGAAATAACATTTAACAATTTCTTTTATCTTCAACTTATAATCTATTTGGTGTTTCACATCTCAAGACCTTGAGACAATTTGTATAAAACAGGCAAGGAGTGACAGTGATCAGACCTGCACAAATGGCATTTTTTATATTTTACACAGCCTAGAAATAATGTTTTGGTGCTGATTTCTTTGTTATGATCTGTTGATGCAGATAGTCTTGGGTGACAGAAGTCAGCAGAAGGCATTCAAGTACACAGGAATCACTTGTTTTAATACTGGTTCCTTCTCAATTGACAGCACATTTGTGGCGTACCGTCCTTGCTCTCAGGAAGTTGAATTGTCAGCCTTGTAAACTGAGGATAATTTCTGTTGAATTGACATCCTCTAACCATGAGCATCTCAGATATGCTGGTTCTCACTATTCTTTTATCAGATATACAGCGATAAAATGGAGCTGGACATCTGCTATTGCTGCCTTACCCTCTCGGGAGGATCGAAATCATAGCTGTTGTTGTATAGTAGGAATCTGATAATGTAGTTGAGACAGTTTATTTTTTATTTAGATAATATTTGTAAGTGCACACTAAAGAAATTGTTTTTCAAATAGATACCAAGCTACAAGCCATTATTGAAATATCAACCAAGGCTTTCATGATTTGTTCTAGGATGCCACATACCAAGGATACTAAGTTACAAGCCCTTGATGACCGACCCATAAGTTTCCATGAACGTCCACAACTATGAAATGAGAAGTCTGAAGCTTCCAGCCTGAAAATATTATGTTTTGACTAGTAGTTTTGGTCATTAATAATTTTAGAGCTTAAATAAGGTTTAGGCCTTCGAAAATTTGTAATTTTATCTTGCATTTATTATTGTTTTTTCAAATAAGTCTCTTAAGTTTTTTTTTATACAATTTTTTATGAATAATTTATTTTTTCTAGTATATACTTATATAAAATTCAACTTGATTCATACATGTGATGTTATTAATCACATATTTTGTTCATGTTATATTTTAGTTAAATTATATCATGAACTCAAATGTTATATAAATAAATAGTTAATAAATTACAAGTAGAACGCTTAGATTAAAAAAAATTAAAAGATTAAATTAAAAAAAATGAAAAAAAATACATTCTTAGAGGATCAAAACTTTATTTAAACCTAATTTTAGTGAGGAGTTGCTATGTTACCCTGTATTTTTTTCCCTTATGTCGAGGCTAGTCAAATATTATTAGGTGTTGTTTCTCATGACAAGTGTTCTGAGGTTTACGTATGACCAGCAAATCCAAATGTTTGACAAATGTACTACTGATTAAACGACTTTTCAGTTACATCATGATTAACGACTTGATACTTACGATAATAATGGGTACTAAAATAAGGACCATAAATTTTGTAATATCTTTCAAATCTTACTATTTAATGAAGCAAACATTATATAATCTTGTTTTAAAAAGTTCTATATTTACTCTTTCACTTCATAAAATATATAAAGAATGAAATGTTACAGTAAGGGAATGATGTACATTAAGTTAACCTCTAATTTTGTTTCTAAAATTTTATTGGTAGGCATTAAATTTTGAAAATATAGATGTTAACATCTTGGAAAATAATATTAGTCTTTAGACACCAAGCATAAATAGTGTATTAAAAAAATTTAATAGTGGTCATTTGTAATTCTTTAATAACTTGATAAAGATTTACAATTTCAAGAATGAGCGACTCCACCATCAAATTTCTCAATCAAACTTTGTTCCAGTAGAAGCCTACTAGAACCACCTTCTCCCCCACATTTGCATTAATCATATCATTGCATTTAGAACATTTACGTGAAATCTAATGGTGCTGCACATAGTCGTTTATTTTTCTGGTTTTTAGCATTTCTCTTCCAGCATATAATGAAGGTTATAAGAGTGCAAAAGTTGAAGCATGATATATCACCAAAATCGGATTCTTATACACACACCCAAAACAACAGAATCCTAGTTGAATAGTAGCTAAGCTAAATTTTACTTGTTTGAGCATGTCTGAGCAAAGCATCCCAGACCAGAACCATTGTCAGTGGTAAAATCAGCAGGTCTGTTACATGCCCCATGAATAATGCATAATTTTGACCACCATCTAGCCCCAAACATGGATTTTTTTTTTCTTTTTCAGATGCTCCAAACAAGCATAGCTGCATATAATGAAAGGTTGGCATAGCCACAGACTGAAAGCAGGCATGGCTAAAAGCTGTTTTAGAGAAAAAACGGTTCAAAACCTCCTCGATGTCTTGGAATGGCTGTGACAGGATATACCTAGGCTCAATGAATTGACAGTTCTTCATTTTACAAATGGTACCCCAGACACAACTCGCTGCGCATATTCGTTATAGTCAGCTCCAAAAAACTGTCTCAAAAAGAATTCTTCATAAGGTATTCGCTTAGCAAAAAAGTGCCAGACAACAACTGCAAAAGCAATAGTTGATATGGGATTGCACAGCATTATTTGAGTGCCAACAGACCAAATGAGGAAACCAGAGTACCCTGGATGACGGACAAATCTATATATACCATGAGTAATCAGCTGGTGATTCTCATCATAATAAATCCTTATAAGATGAGTAAAGGATTTCCCTGCTGTTATAATTGCAACCTTCCTTATAATTTCCCCAATCACAACCAGAGTCAGACCCAAATTACTGATCACCCATTGTTCCTTTAACTCAGGTAAATAAGCAATCTCAATATAGTATTCCACAAATGAAATGAACATTGCCAAAATATACTGTCTGCTTATCAAGAGGGACTTTAGAGTCACACTTGATCTCCCATGAATGACCATTGCCAGCAAATATTCAGAACAATGGAAGAAGATTATGGCAAGGAACAATTGAGATAATTGTCTGCATGCCGTGTGGCTAAAGATTTCTGTCATTTTTTCCAAATAAAGTAAATAAGAATGTCTTGCTTTGCAGCCCGATTAGTTCTAATGTAATTTGATATGCCAGAGAAAGACAGCTGATGAAACTATCTGAGTTACAAGTCAGACCTGAAAAAGATGCTGAGTAATGTAAAATTAGCACAGGAAATTTTATTTTGTCACCAAGAAAATGCTTCAAGAAGGACATCTGTAAAAAATTGGATAGGGAAAAATCAAAACAATTGATACTAGTACAGCACACAACAACTTCTGAGCTTGTTTCTGCAAAGATAATCACAATCTTATATGTATTGTACTACAGCAATGCTTTAGATTTTAGAATACCGACACTGATGTCTGATTTGTGGAGGGTTTTACTGCAATTATCCATAGATTGACAAGTTAAATAAATTGTAATGAACAACAACCAAGCCTTATCTAACAAGAAGTTAGCTAAATAGATCAAACTACACCATAGGCTTCTATTATAAACAAAAATTTAAAAAATTCCATTAAAAGCAACAAGTCCATCTAACTCAGACTATGTCGTACTTTGTCGCAATCTTCACATAGCCAATCCCAAGCCCATATAAAAAAAGGAGGGTTATAACTTATGTTAGGTACTCATTCTTAGTACCCCAAATAAATTATGTTTCAATTTTTAGTACCCCAAATGTTTTACTTCTACCTCATTCTTCCAATGGTTAAAATGTCTTTGCCTTTATAATAAACAAGTCACAGGCTGTGACTGGTTTATTAGGTAATTTGGCAGAGTATTTGAATCCTTAACAAGGTCAACTACATTTTGTTCCCTAAAACAATTAAAAAATAAACACTCCATAATATTCTCCCTCTTGGAGTGTGACAGCTAACACATTAAATTTATACCAATCTATCATTTTATTTTTTCATTTTAAAAAATATAAATTAGAAAATATTTATCAGATATAAAAAATTTGCCCTTGGGGTAACCCACCAACTTCAAAAAACAAATTTTTACCGAAAAAATAATTACCCGTATATATTCCACTATAGCGATGGCGATGCATAAGATTAATGGACAAAATGCAAACACCAATTATAAGGGTGATAACAGAATTTCCAAATGGGTAAATGAATTCAATAAAGCAGAGTTTATAGGGTTCCAGGGAACAAAACATCGTACCGTGTCGCGTGAAAATGACGACATTCTCCGATTTTCCAAAACGAAACTGTGAAGGAATGCCAAGATTCTGTGTAGATAGATGAATGTCGCGAACGCGACTCTGAAAACCCTAACACTTAGACAAATGAGGAACAAAATGACGATTGCGTAAGAAAACTGGTCACAGATCCCCTTCGCCCAAACGCACAGTTTTGACTTGTACTTTCTTTTTTTGTCCTTTTCTTTTGGGCCCTTTCTTTCCTATTTTAAGATGATTCGTTTGTGATTAAAAAAAAAAGAGACCAAATTAATCTCTGAATTTATGAATATTAGTCAATATATTTTTTGCATTATAAAAATATGTTATTCTTTAAAACTATTAAATGACAGTTTAGAGGATTTTATAAAAACATATATATAATTTTTTAAATTATTTATAGAAAAAGGAAAAAAAATACTTTACCTTCGTATAAGGGCAATGCTATTTTTTTTTTTTTAAAAAAAAAGTCTTATGTTAGTATCATCTCTAACACGAGCCATACACTAAAAATGGGGCCAAAAAAACTTCAAATTGGTAAAATATTTTTTTAACTTTTTTAATAAATAGTTTTGAAAACTAATGTTTGAAATTATAAAAATAAGTCCAAATAATTAACATTTGATAATTTTAAAGAAAAATAAAATATTTTAATTTCAGAAACTAAATTGATTGGGGTTTGTAATTTTAAAATCCAATTTAATGTGATACTCTAAAAAGTGAAGCGTTAAAATGTATGTTTTCTAAGAAATTGATAAAAAGAATTCAAACAAGTTAAGATGTTTTTAAACTAATTTTTCTAGAAAAATGGATCTCAAACAGACACCTTTTTAAAGTTGGTAAGCTGATCCTAATAGTTGAGGAAAATAAAATGAATGCGTAAATGCAATTGATGCAATAAGTAAATATTAACATTATAAGATGAAAAGTGCAAGATAAAATGAGCTAAAAATAAAAGTTAAAATAAAATAATGAAGTGTGTTGATAAAAAGATTAACTCAACATAGCACAATTTTCATAAGAAGATCAATAGTTGAGGTTTTTTTTTTTTTTTCCAACGATCAATAGTTGAGGTAAACTGAAATACGAGTTAGGAAGTATGATGGAGGAAAGCATATTGCCCATACACAAATAAAGCTAAAAATGTTGAAAGCAAGAACTAAGAAAAGTAAAATCACACTCTGTCAATAAAAAGATATGGATAATTGAAATAAAATGTTGATCATAGGTTGATGTGATTATGTTGGGGTTTTTTTTTTTTTTTCAATTGAATTTATAGACACTTTTTAGAGACGTATACTTAGCAAATTTGATGAATTTAAATTTAATACACTACTAAAATAAAGTTACTACTATCTTTGATTTTATCAATAATAAATAAACAACTAATATATCAGAATTAATTAAATAAATTATATATTATAAATATATATTTTATCTTAAAAATATTTATATTATTAAATGGCTGAATAGAGAATAAATAAATAACTTGTTAATAGCAAAAAAAAAAACTAGTTAATGCATATCCTATAATCAAATAAGGGTATAAAATTAATAATTAATATGTCTAAAAATCATTTTATACTTTTTGTAATTAAAAATATTTTTTAGTATTTTAATTTATATATAAAAAAGAGTCAAAAGACTAAATTGAATGTTATCTACTAATTATACAAATTGTCATCTGAGAGGGTGGTTATAATAGCCAAACATCATTAATAATACATTAGAGTGCATAAAATTAAATACACCTAAAACACTACCTTTATTGCTTGTTCCATCCAAAGAAGTGGCATGTGTTAAATAAAGGGCCAATAGTATAAAAATCCTTTATAATTTACCCAATATGCAAAGATTCCTTGTGCAACAAATGGCTGGGACTAAATGAATTTTGGCCAGAAAATATGGTTTGTTAATTGCCACAATCTATAATGCAAGTGGTTATCTTCATATTTGGTAACTTTTGCAGGGGCCATGGCCATGCATGTGCACATCTAGTTGCGTGTACTAAATGAAATCTTTTATCTATTCAAATACATAACGTAAAACAAACATACCCTCATTTAGTTATACATCTCATTCTTGAAATGTTTGTATTCAATACAATTTTTATACATAATTAAACAATCTTAAATTTGTTAATACTTAAACTTAGTTTTTAATCAAAGTTAACAAACTATTTTTAAGAGAAAATTAAGTGAAGATTGTGCTTAATTCGACCAATTTTATAGTGGTATGAATTTGGATGGGCTTTACTTGTTCCATTTAGGTGTTTCTTGATTACTGTCTCCCCATTAAATTTTTCTTTCCATGGGCATGTGTGACATTTCCACATTATTTTCAATTGGATTTTAGATGCTACTGTATACCTGATCATAGTGATACAGCTAATCATATTTTCCATATATAATGGTTACAAACTTGAGTGAATATTATTCTATCCTAATTCACTTCTGTTATTTGTTCGTATCTTGTCCTTGGTTGAGTGTTTTTATTTCTTCCAATTTGTAAGGTCCAAAATAGTTATTAGTTTGATATTATATAATAATAACTTATAAGATATTGTTATATTGTAAAGCAAAAAGTGAAGTGTTTTTATTGGATACAAGAGATAACGGGTACAGTTTGATAGCACTTAGGATCACTAAACTACATTATCAATTTCCAGTCAAAGATGATGTGATGAATATGTGCTTTGTTTCAGTCCAAGTATATATGATACCAATTAGAAAAAAAGTACCATAAAAGTAACTTTTCAATGTATCAGTTGCTTATACTATTAACATCTGAGTATATGAAGAGAACAAATATAAAAGATTAATTTATTGTAATTAGTCTCATAATATATACTTTTTTGCGTTTAGTAAAATTAAAATTTGATTAAAACAAAAAATCTCTCAAAGAAAATAATAAATTGATGAATATTCCTTCATCAAGGCTGTGGGATTTAATAATTTTTTCCCTTGTGGTGTCCAACATGGCATAGAATTCAACTTCAAGCTCCTAACTTGGAAAATTATGTTTGGTGAGTGAGTGAGTGAGTGAGTGAGTGGAACAGCTTTAGTGACTGTGGTATATGATATTTTCATCAAGGGTTGCAAAATACTGTTGAATCTTTATCAGCATGATTATAATTTCCATGAGTTCAAATTATGTATGATAAAATGTTGCAATCAGCCTAGACCCATTATTGCATCACTGAACACTTAAGCCGAAAGATATGTTCATAATGGAGTTTATTTTCTACATGGTACTGATAAATCTCACTACTTGTACAACAAAGGAAAAGTTTTCGTTAACCACACATTTCATATAACAGTGGAGTTTCACATATAACCATAAAATAGTTGAATAATTGACCCTAACTTCCATGTGACCAGATTTTATTTTTCTGATCAAATTCAAAGTTGAAATAGTCATATTTTTATACTAAAAAGACTACGATAAACGTAATTTGAGGCTAAAATTGAATGCTATTTAGTCACAAATTGAAATTATATGGTGTTATATTTCCGTCAGGGTCAATATATAGACCTATTGAATGTAAATGTAAACCTGCCCTACAAGGACATTTATATCTTTGTCCTATACCTAATACCCTTATAAGTGAGTTGCACTCAATGTAGTTGTAGTGCATTCAATCTCCATTTCACTCACAAGCTAGTCTTAGATAGTATTGACTAGAAATTAAATCATATATAATAAATCAATATAGTGGTGAATAAGATGGGCATGGTATTGCTATACATTAATTAGGAGCTTAAAAATGGAATTAGATATGTAGGAAGTAGGAAAAGTGAGAGCCTATAAGATGGGTGGGTGTACCATTCTTGGGTCATGATCAAAACATAGTTCCTTGGAGCATTAAGAAAGTTGGTTTTAACATTTCAGCAATTTGTACTTTTCAAAGGTCAAAGGTGGATGTAATAACTTCCTAAAACAGAAAACTTCTTCCATATGTAGGTGACTGTTTCAAATCAAAACACCTGAACCCAACAGGGGAAAATGAAACTTTAGGCCTGTTTAATTTAAGAAAATGTGTTTTTTTCCCCTCAGTTTTTTTGTTTTTTATTAATAGTTATAAAATATCATTTTATTTTCATTTTAAAAGGTTTACACAACAAATGATAAAAATAGCATTTTTTTTATTCAAAACTTTCTTCAAAGATTAAATAATATTTGATTTAATCAAAATTTCTTAGGGGACAAGGAAGTTGGTATTCTCTAGTGCAAGGTCATATCCATGTTAACTTAAGCCAGTTGAAGTCCTTAAAATTATTCTCTCCTAAAAACAAATTAAGAATAGCCATAGAGTGCTTAGTTGATCAACTTGAATGGATCTTTCAGTGGAAGCTTAAGAATTTAAGCATCACAATCTACTTTGACCTGAGCTTGGGGTTTGTTAATTAATTGGTTGGAATGAAAGAGGAGGCAAAGGAGGAGAAGTTTGCTATATCCATTTGAATTGGTTGTTATGTTTGTTGATGAGTTATCTTCCCAGTTAGGAGAGACTAACACAAGAAACTCCTACAATAATATTTCACTAACATGCAAGTACATGAGAATTGAAGTTCTGGTAATACCAAAATTAATTCCATGTAGCAATAAAATTGCTACCACTTATAAGGAGAAAAAAAGTAGGTAAAATGGGTGAACAGTCAATGATCCAATTTGTTCATGAAAGTTGAGACTTTCATGTAATCTATCTCTAGCTGCTGCACTACCAAGTATTATCTATATTTATACGTGTTAGCTTAATTGAAAATGGTCTATATAGCTAACATCATCTCCATTATAATTTTGTAATTACATCAACTATATAATTTAGATCATATGTGCTAACTAATACTATACTACTAAAATACAGTAATTGCATTTGATTTTTTTTATGAAGACCATGTTAAAAGCAAATAACAAATTAGCTTCTGGAGGTTCCTTTGTGTCTTGAAGAGAGAGAGAGAGAGAGAGAGATTTTGTTAACATTTGAAGAAAACGGCTGAGTTAGCAATAAGACATAGCAATCATAAACAGATGGTGGGTGAAAGATTTCGCTCACTTTTTAAAGAAGCAATAATAGGAGATAGTTAGGCCAACGGTCAATGGATTCGTTTTTTAAAAGAATAATAGAATCATAAGATCGTAGGATAGGTTCTTAATAATTTTATTAATATGATA